GGGCGCTTTTTTTTTTTTTTTTTTTTTTTCATCGTTCGTCTCTGCGCGGATCCGGAATATCCAAGCGTCCGAACATAATCTATGCATTCATGACATTATAATTGGCAGTACATTTGCGTATGTATTTTGTTCCGTGTAAAATAATTGAATAACGTTTTACAGTAATTGCGTTCGTTTTCGATACGAAAATAAATGCATTTGTAATAGTGTTTGCCGGGGACGTTCGGTAAGACGGAACGCCGAACGGGTAGTGGTTGAACGTTTTATTTTATATTTTTTTTTTCTCCTCTCGTTTAAATTCTAAAACACTGCTGAAAAACTATACGGCCGTCGGAATTGGTTTTTTTTTTTTTTTATTCGAAAATTATCCGGCCAGCCTCGGAAACCGATTGCCGGACCAAGCCGACCACCGCTGCTCACTCGCACAAGGCGCGAACATTACAGGCACCTGCGTCGCGGTGTCGGTCGAGCGTCCGAAAAGTGAAACGGGCGGCGGCATTGTTCGCCTGCAGTGGGCAATTAATTAGAATATTGAAACGGACCGATTATCATCGCCCGCGGGAAACCCGGTCGGTCCGTTATCGCTGACCCGTTACGCAACGCACAACATTGTTTACTCGCTCGCCGAGCAGCAGCGGAACGTCGTCTACGATGCCCCGTCCAGGGGTAAAACGTCCCGCGTTTGAATATTCATCGGACCCGGGGGGGGGGAGGGGAGGTGATGGTGGTGTGGTCGGGGAGAGGCCCCTCGCGAAGTTTCGCGTACAACGGATCGTCGACGCGCGCGCGACCGGTAAAAAGCGGCCAAACGCCGCGTCCGGGGACGCGAATAGGCGGACGTGCCGCAGGAAAACCCATCGGCCGGCCGTTGACTGGCAATTATCGCCGTGTAATTAAAGACGCCGAGCGCGTTATTTTTAGCGCGGTATACACACGACCAACGACACCGCGACGTTCGCGCCGGTCCGGCGTGACGATTATTATTTTTGCAGTACTGTCGAGTTTGTTATTATTTTAATTTTTTTTTTTCACCCCGTTAACGGTATTTCATAAACAGGTACATTACCTTGGTCTTCGGCGGCACTTGTCTGCTGCCGAACGGCTGCTTGGCGTTGAGCAGGCCGAGCGCCGAACGCCGTTTGGTCAGCGGCTGATCCTTCGGCGGCACGTTGTTTTCCTTGTTGTTTCGCATTACGTTGCCGGCGTTTTCTTGATTTCGGAAAACCGAAAATTCCATTTCGTTTTCGCCGGGGAAATCTGCGTGTATAATCGGACTGGAAATCGTCGGCGGCGACGGATAAAACGAACGGATTTTATCGTCGTCGGGTGGTGCGCGGCATTAAGCGGAGCAGCGAGAAATGTTTTTCAGACTCCGGTCATAATCGGATTCGGAATCGGGTAATTTACGCGGAGTATTTTGCTAGGTATCGAGTGTGCTGCGGAGAAAAAAAATAATGCTCACTCTGATGAAAGAAAAAATAAAAATATATATTATTGCGTTACTTGTGCCGTACAATACACGATTAAATATGGGGACGAAATATGAAAATAGTATTAAACGTTTTCAGATCAGCACGAAAGACGCAACGCGCGATCCGACTGATTTCACCGAAAAGAAGCCGCACAAACGTCCGGACGCCAACGGAGTAGTAACGGTCATATTTTCAAATGACAGGTGTTCGAAAATGAAAAAAAAAAAAAAGAAGAAGGGATGGAATGAACAACGACCAAAGAAAAATGCTACACTGGTCACACTGATATGTATATTGTTTCATGTGATAAAGACTGACGGAGCTGATAAAGACTGACGGAGCTGATAAAGACTGACGGAGATGATAAAGATAATGAACCCATGCACAAACCGTGATAACTACGGCGTTTTGAAAATCGAAATTATTTGTTATTAGTTATTACATGGATATTCGTTTTCTCGGGTTTTAGAGAAACGCTCAACATGAACTCCATTAAAAAGTGAGTACAATTTTATAACAATTGTTTAATTCATCGATATAAGTATGTTGGAAATTTGCCTGGTTTGAATGATTGATTAAAATGTGTTTCCTATTACTTACTTCTTCATGTTTAGATTTAAAATCCGTATGTATATACTTTGCCATTACGAAATTCATAAGTTATAAAATGAAATATGATAATTTTTTTTCATAATAAATAAAATGTACCCAGATACTGTAACTAGTTGTTTACTTATTTGATTTCAGAAATGTTCAAGATACGTATGCTAGGGAGTATCTTGTAAGTTTATTTTCATTTTTTTTATTGATTTATTGTTTTATTAAATTATTTAAATAATTCTAGGCACTCAATAAAAGAAGTGATGGTAGAGGATTGATGGGATTTCGTGATGTGTCACTAAATCTGAGTTCTATACATACAGCGGATGGATCAGCTGCTGTCAAAATTGGAAATACAGCTGTGATTTGTGGCATTAAAGCAGTTAGTATTTGTTTATTACAGTCCATTCTTAATATATTTGTAAATATCTTAAAACACTATTTTAGGAATTAGGTGTTCCTAAATCCGAAACTCCAAATGTTGGATACCTTATAGTAAATGTTGAACTGCCTAGTTTATGCTATAAAAAAATACGACCTGGAATACCGTGTGATGAAGCAATGCAAACTACCAGTTTTCTAAATGAAGTGTGTAATAATTGCAAAATTATAGACCTACAACAATTATGTATATGTGTTGATAAATTAGTATGGGTTCTATCATGCGACATATATTGTTTAAACTATGATGGATCTGTTTTAGATGCATGTTTGATAGCTTTGTTATCAGCAATACAGACAGGTATTAAAAACTGTTATATTAATATGTATCAATTTATTTTTTTTATTTTTTTTATTTTTCAGTTAAAATACCAGAAGTTAAATACGATAAAGAAACTGAAGAAACGACTGTTTTTGAAAATTACAATCTTCTAAAAGTTAATAGTTTACCTGTGTCTGTTACTTTTAGTCTATTCAATGAAAAACATATTTTAGCTGACCCAACTGAAGAAGAAGAGCAATTATGTGCTAGTAAATTAACAATTGTTACCAACGGTAGTTTATTATATTCATTACACAAACCAGGTATGTCACATTTACCAGAAGGATCTTTATATTTTATAATTTACTTTTTGTTGTTTTTTTTCAATATTTTATTCAATCTAAATTCATTGTAAAATTGATTTAAGGAAAACAACTTGATGGATCGTGTTTCTTTTTATATTAAAAGTATACTACTAAACAAAAATCCAATTCCCCTCCCCCCCCTTTAATGACTCCTGAATCTTTTAGTATAAAATTACTATATAATTTTTTAGAAAATTTAAATCACTCAAATGTAGTTTAACATATTTCATTTGTAAATTATTATGAACTAGCATAATATTAATATATATATATATAGGATGATTCACTAAGCATGCTCACCCCATTTTTCTAGTTAAATTTTGCATGCATTGAAATTCTGATTTTTGGAATTTATAAGTGTAGTTTAAAGCCAATATTTTCGAATACTTAAATTTTTCACAACATTTAAGGAGTATCCTGTATATTTAAAATTGCATAAATAGTCTGAGTATTACTTTAAATACATTTTTGATTTCCATCAACCTGTTTTTTGAAACATTGCACTTCTAAGTTTAAGAAGTAGGGAGAGTAGTGAAATCTTATTTGTATGGCGTTTTATTAGTGTTAGTGCTCCACTATTCCCTCCTACCTAAACTTAAAAATTTAATATCTTGTCAACGGGTTGTTAGAAATCAAAATGTACTTAAAGTAATACTACATACTTTTTTTAATACGTATTCTCATTTTAAAAAAACCAAGGTTGGTATTGCCACTTAAATGTTGTGTAAAAATATTAGCATTAACTACACGTACAAATTCCAAAAATCATTTTTTCAATAAATGCAAAATTTAAATATAAAAATGGAGTGGGCGCGTTTAGTAAATTACCTTAACATATAAAATAAAATAATTTTTTTATTTGTTAAATTTATATATATTTTTTTAGGAGGTGATTTCATAAAAGATAGCCAAATTCAGAATTGCGTGCAACATGCCAAAAAAAGAGCTAATACGATTCATAAGTTAATAAAAGCCGCTAAGTAAATTTGTATTAATATGCATTCTTATTTTTTATTTTTTAAGATATCATTCAAAACAATAATTTACTCACTCATTTTGGACAAATATACCTTAAAGGGGTGAAAATAAATCTATTATTATTATTCAAAAAAAAAAAAACAATTTTTTAATTAAACTATAATTTAGTATTTATAGTGAACTGAAAAATGACCAACTTTTGTAGGTGGGAAGTTGGGAAAGTAGAATACAAAAAGTTATTTAATATATATGTATAAGCAACAATAAACCATTGCTAAAAAATTCAATTCTGAGTGAAGTTCAATTATACATGTTTTGAAATGTCATAATTTGTATGATTTTCATCAAGTACTAATTTGCTTTTAATTGCCTCTGTTGGTGTAGTTGAATGGAAGTTATGAATGACAACATGGGTTTGCTTATTTTTTTTTTTTTTTTTGCAAATATTGCTTACATTAGCTAGTTTAATAAGAAAAATGTTATGAACTCCTCGAAAGCTGAATTTCGGTACACAAATAGCCCATGTCTTAGTGGTTTACATACTCAAAGTCCCTAAATCCAACCCTTGTGATTAACCTTCCATTAAAAATATTAGAGACGGGTGCGCCACTGTTATAGGTGTAAAGTCAGAAAGGTAGGAAACAGAGTTAACTATTTAATTTGTACCTGTAAACAACGATAAACCATTGCTAACGAAAAGTGATTGTTTTATACAAGTTTGAAAAGCTGTAATATTTACGATTTTTTCGGATTTTCAATAAAATTTGATTTTCAATTCTTATAAATATCTACAGAATACCTACAAAATAAAACGTCCTAGAATAATTTGAAAGGTGCAGCCAATTTTATAGGTAATTAAATATATATCTTAGCAATGATTAACCATTGCTAATGAAAAAAAAAAACAATTCTGAGCGGAGTTAAGTTGATAGTGATATTTTATCAACAATATATATATGTCATATTATGGTAAAATAATTAAGTAGGCATAATATATTATCTCTAATAATATTTGTTTAATACACCGATTTTCCCGTTTTTCTTGGTTTTTCACATTTACTGCGAAATTTCTTGAGAAAATCGAAAAATGACCTCTCTAAAGTACCTTTTCAGTCAAATTTCCTTTTAAAAACATTTCTAGGCATCATTATAAAATAGAGCAAAATTGCTTGTAGTAAAGCTGTCCGCCAAACAAAACAAAAAATGGTAATATTTTACTAATATATTTTGTACATTTCCCCTTTTTTTTTTTTCGATTCTTCACATTTTATAAGCAAATCGAAAATTACCTCCCTAATTTATCTCCCTACACCGATTTCCTTTCAAAAAAGATGCTACACGTAAAAATCAGAGCAAGTCCTCTTTCTGGTAAGAAAGTTGTCCACAGAGAAAAAAAGTAAACATCTTTGTAAAACCATAAGACTCTTCGCTCCACTTAGAATCTAAAATTTCTATAAATAACTTAAAAAGGGTTAAAATGTTTTTAAAGTTTTACCATGTCTAGAAATATCAAATTTAAGTTTTACACCAAAATTGAAAATAACTGATTAAAAGAATTATTTTCCCGTTTTTGTTTTTGGAGTTTTGCTCAATTATTGAAAAATTACAAGGAGAATAAAAAAAAACCGACATTCTTGTTAACCAACTAGATTAAAAATATATCTAAAAGTTTTTTATTGTTTTTCTACTGAAGCAATATTTTTAGTAGAAATAAAAGAATACTAACACTGTACATTTATCAGTTGTCATTTTTCATCTATTTCTGGTTTTCACTATTATGAAAACTACTTCAAAAATCAAAAATCGACTTTCTTCGTAAACATCTATAAATCCAAAATGCAACGAAAATGGTCTCGTGTCGTTTTTCTATTGAAGAAATTGTTTTGGTAAAAAAACACAGTTTGCAAAAATTAAAAAGAATAACAATGGCGCGGCGCGCCGTAAATATTTGCCGTTTTACTGATAATTTTATAGTTTTCAAAAAATAATTACAATAAATAAACATCATTGTTAAACCAATAAAAGCCTTGCTGCGGTCCGAATCTAAAAAAAAAAAACAAATGCTGTTAATGGGTGGGTAACTTCCAACCTATGGTGTAATGTTAAATCATTCTCGATTTATCATTGTGTATGATATAAGGGTGTAATCACGGTTTAAGATAAACCCTAAAGTGGTTTATACACTTAAAGATAAATCTTTAACCGTGAGTTATAAGGGGAGTCCTCAACTCTCGGTGTCGTTTCGTGTTAAATACTCTTTTCTGGTTGGCTCATATCATCACGGTAGACACATTTTGATCGTGTCTACGAAAACGTTACCGCGGATACCGCAGAGCTAAATAAATTCAACTTTTGGACGTGCTGGTTATAGCTGTTAACGTTATTTTCGTGTTTTCATTTTAATAATAAATTAAATTATTATTCAAATTTTCATTTTTTAATAAATTAATTTAAAATTAAAATTCAATATGGACTTTGTGAACGTAATTAATATCTAATGTTATGTAAACGTAAAATGTACATTTTTTTTTTTATGAACAGATATGCACTTTATGCTAAAAGTTTGTTATATTAAACACTTCACACAACTGTACTTAACTGTTATAAAATCTCAAAATAGTACTAGTAAGTACAATACCAAGTTATTTTAATACACGTTGGTACCGTTGATTTTAAAACCAATGGGTACCTACCTACCAGTGGAACGTAACTGTTAAAAACAGCAATATATTAGTAATTAAAATTGAGCAAAATGATGTGTGTGTGTGTGTGTGTTTTGGTATTGTTATTATCAGTTAATCGTATAATACAAGTGAACTATATTAATAAAATGGATTCTGTCTAGGTAATATATATTCAATGCCTATTTTGACAGAAAAAAATAGTAGGTATGTGAACAATAGAAAAAAAAAAACCCTGAAGAAAGTGTAGACACGGTGAAATATCGACGGCAAAACAATAATAAACATTCATAAATAATGTAATGATGCCGAAGTTTGAGAAAAATGTGCGATAATAATAGTTATGATGAGCGATTGATAACGTTGGTTGTTGGCCGAACGACGGGCACGAATTATTTCGCGCCGTCAATGAGGAACGTGTCGGTGTTCATTGGACTACATACACTTGCAGTTCTTGTAGTCCGACGGTCGTGTTTAAAACGATACGAAACGACACGGCTTGTTGGGGACACGCGTTGGGTACGCGATGTCCGCGTCGGCCGTTGGTCGTGTTATTGTTTGCTCGGCGGTTAGTGCGTACCGCGTGAATGAGAAAAAAAAAGTAACAGTTAACGTCCGGGAAACCAACACCGGTAACGGATTTATCGTCAAGCTCGGGATCGCGGACAATTCGTCTCCGCAACAAACTCGCGTTTCGTTTAAACGAACTTAAGTGCGCGTGCGACGTGTTGCGGGAAAAAAAACCGGCAACTCGTGGTTTTCGATTTTTGAACGTCGGAATGTCGACGATATCGTGTCCGTTCGCCGTCGTGTGGCGCGCTCGCGCGCGGAAATTGAATTACGATAATAAATAAATAATCACCGTTTTATTACGGTGAACAGGGTGATGTCTGCCGACGGCGGGAAACGGAATGAGAACGGACGAAAAAGAGCGCCGATACCGTGTTGACGGCCGTTGTAAACGGGATGTCGGGGAATTGGGACGCGTGAATGTTGTTTACATCCGTGTGTAACGGACGTAAAACCGTCGCCGCTAATGAAATACGATTCTGAGTTCGATTGTGCTCGGTGCGATGACGAAATGAATACCGCCGGGGGTCCGTGAACAACAAAATGTCATCGTCGGGCACGATGGCGACAGCCGATATGGCGTAATAAAAAATTCCTGTGCCCCTACCCCCCGTTCGGTCATTCTTCGGTGGCCCCGGTCTAAATACGCCGCCACGGGGTACTTGCATCTGGGGAGTTGTTCCACTATTACACGTTTGAGTTTGGGCCGTGGGAGAGTGGGTGACGCATTGTTACACCGCGCTGTGCTGCCACCCAAATAATCCTCCGCGCCACTCCACTGTTAACACCGATCCGGGTAGGTCACGTTCCAATCGGTCATAGTCGAAGGAATGAGAATCGAGCAATTTATGTGGCAGGTATAAACGAGGGGGGGGGGGGCGCGTCAGTGTACGAGAAGTAATTGAACGTTAATGCACGTTTTCCCTTGCGCGATCGAGAGATTTATATACGTCATTTACTTATGAAAAATTAATTTAAAAAAAAAAAATCAAAACGGTTTATCTAACCGTATAAATATTTAAAAATGAAAAAAAAAAACAATAAAAATATATTCGTAATGTTTGAATAAAACTGCATTTACTGCGAATATTCGTTCCATTCATTGTTCAATGTTCACATGTTTTCGAAAGTCGCGAATGTCCGAAAAACTGTTTCCGAACACTTGTTGGTTCGCCTGGTGAAGCCAGAACATAAGGACGTGGATTGTAGTGGTTTTTCCGATGAACCGGTTCGGCGTTGATGATATTCTGCCGGGCGTATCGTAACGGTTTTCTACAGCTTGGAAGTCCCGAAACGGTCGAAAAAGATTTAATTTTGCCCGCGCACACCGAAATGCGGCGGGGGAGTCTGGTTTGCCTTCGAGCTCTTTTTGTACGGTCGATCGTAAATCGGTAAATCATAGCGTTACGTGCCGCGTAAATTGCGGTCGGCGTGGGGAATTTCCCACCGCTCGGTCGTAAAACAATAACTATAGATTATTCGCATTTAGAACAAGATTCGAATAATAGATGTGACTAATAATTACAGATAACTAGATTGGAATTTAAATTCCGGGGCGCGCGATAACACGGTGTTATTTGTCTTCCACGCAAGCCGATCGCGAGCGCGGACAATTGCGATGTACAACCGCCGACCGCGATCGCCCGACGAAAACCGAGTGCGCGTTTAATTCGCGTTGCGTCGACGGTCGCGCGACCGCGGCACGCCGTCTCGTTTCGCGGATCGCGTTCTCGCACCGGAAAAAACGCGCCCTCGGCGCGAGCGCGGTTCAAACGGCGTACCGTCCCGCCGACCGCATCGCCTTGGCACGGTGACCGGTGTCGCGCCGCGTTACGTGCGCGTATCGCGGTTATTTTCGGGTTGTATCCGATTCGACGACAATGTGTCATAAAATAATAATGTCTCGTTTTGTTATTGCCACAATCCGCGGTTACCATACTGTCCGCAGCGCAGCGATACGATTATGTGTTTGCCCGCCGTTTGATAGTGTAAAAATGTAACGGCAATTCATGTAATATCATGATTTTAGATTCTGAATACACCGAACAATGTACCGGTTTTACTAAGATGTTTATTATATTATTATTTTTTATTTTTTTTCCTATACCGTGTAATAAAAATTCTACCGGAAATCTTGCCTCCGACGTACGTTCAGCGAGAGGCGCGACCAAAAGCAGTCCGGTTTCGCGCGTACCCAGCCTAGTGTTCCCACCTATACCGACGGGAAAATACGTAGGAAAACGTACAATTTCACGGTTTCGTTATTTTATAAAAACACGGACGAACGTTTTCTATCAGAAAAAATCACAAGACCTTTTTTGTTGCCTTTTTGATTTACTTTTTTACGGTATCATCGCCATAACTTTTGAGCTTTTAAGGAATTTTAATTTTTGGGAGTTTTTTTGTTGTACTTCGATTATAAATACACGTGGAGACTTGAAACTTGGTAATAACACTTATATTGGACTTACCTAGACGTGGTCAAATTTCCAAAATAACCGGACTTTTTTTTTTTCAATAAGCGTTTTGAAATCAAAATCCTTCCGTATATAAACCTTATGTATCCTACCTTTCCAACTTCTCACCTACAACAGTGGTCGCTCCTATTCCCAGTATCGGCTCTTTTTTTTTTTTTTTGTTTTTATCTGCGCGTAATTTTTCTACCAGAAGACTTGCTCAGATTTTTAAATGTAGCATTTTTTTCCGTAAGGAAATCGATGTGAGCAGGTACTTTAGGCAGGTGATTTTTCGATTTTCTCATCAAATTTGAAAAACTGAAAAAAAAAAAGGAGAAAAAACGGAAAAATATAAGAAATGTAGTTATTAGTTATAACATATTACGGCCTTCTTTTTTTCTGTGAACAACTTTTCTACAAGCCGTTTGGTTCCGATTTATAATGATAGCGATTTTTCTGAAAGGAAATATGACTGGGAAGGTAATTTTTCGATTTTTCCCAGCAAATGTGAAAAACCGGGATTAAACATTGGAAAACCGGTACATTACAAATATTATTAAAGAAAATATATAAAGCCTATTTAATTATTTTACTGTAAAATGACATATATATTGTTGACGAAGCATCACTATCAATTGTACTCCGCTCAGAATCATTTTTGCTTAAGCAATGGTTTATCGTTGCTTACAGGTATATTATTATTCCTGTTATTTGATTCACGTTTGAGCTAATTATGGGTAATTTTAATTTTGCAAGCTTTGTACGTAATTTTTATTTGTTATGCACTCTGTAGATAAATTGTTGAGACAAAACGGGAAATGCTTGAAAATTAAACAGGAGTATTCATTACAAGTCGTACTTTGCGGCAAAACAAAAATTACGAAATGTATTATTTCAATGGCAAATTTCTATCGTAGCGCGGATCAACCGTTTTGAATATTGTAAAAAATTGTGTGTAATACTCACGACGACCGATTTGTCGTGATCACAAACAATTGTGGTCTGCGACGGACCGGACGTACGATATGCAATTTCATATATTATAGCGAAACATTATCATTGGGGATTCGGGGACATTATTATTCGGATCATTTTATAATTTATTGTTCGTATTGCCTACATGGGTCTTTTTGTGTTACCATTTAATTTACTTTTAGACAATCGGTAATATGCACGACGGCGGTGACGCTGCCGCATGTTCGTCGCGTAATAGCGTTCTCGCACTCGCAGGCACATGTCGTGTTTACATACAGATTTAAGAAAAAGTATTCGGTTATTTTTCGAATAGAAACGTGACGAAATTTTGTGACTCTAGCCGGTGCGATTTTAATTCTGCAAAAGTCAAAATCAAAATCGAGGAGTTTTTTTTAGAAATATCAATTAATTCAATAGATATGACCGGAACAAAAATGTCGTGAAAACTGAAATTTTTTATTATATTATAGTATTGTCAAAATGTCGAACCCTAATAAAGTGCTCCGATCGTTCTTTATAGGAGATATTAAGAAATGTTATTATTTTTACAGTATTGAAATCGGACTACCCAAAGTGTCACAATCTTGTCACACCGGACGGTATAAAAACTTTTTTTTCGGCCGACTAGAACCACTTTAATCAATGGGTACAAATTTTAATTTTACAAAACAATGTTTTATTTTTATTTTTGTTCTTTAATCAAAACAACCTGTTTAAACTTTAACATTTCAAATATTTGTATATTATGGTATTTTCTAAGTATTTATAGGAACAATATTATATTTAATTTATTTTTCTAGATCTTTTATTCTCCTTCGAAGCTCTGTAATAGTGTTTTCTCTTTTTACTATATCAAGTTTTTCATTATTGGTTTCCTTTTTTAATTTATCCATTTTTTCTTCATACTCACACACTATTACTTTGTGCATTTGTTCTCTTTTTTGTATTTCAAGTTTATTTTTCTTCAATTGTTCTGTCAATTGATCGTTTTTTTTTACTATGGACTGTAAATAGTTAACACATTATTATTTATTTTTTTTTTTTCAATATTAAATAATATCAACTTGTATGAATATTTTAATGTTACTTTTAATTTATCTTGAGCCATTTCCATCTCATTGAAAATAACCGCTAAAAATGATTCTGTTGTTTCATCAGTGGAATTCTCAATTTCACACAAGCTATCTTTAAATGATTTTTCTTTAATGTATGCATCGTTAATTTCATGAGCCAAGTGCCATTCCCATTTTGCATCTTTATATTTATTCATGTTCCACATAATAGATTTTGCCAAGTCAACAAACATTTCATCCAATATTTTACAATATTTATTAGAAATATTAGTTAGTATTAGTTTCTTTTGGTGTGCCAAAACTGAAAAATATCTTTAAAAACATACATACATATATAATATTAATTAGGTAATATACATTTAATTTAATAAATTAATCTAACAATAATTTATTTTAATTGATCATATTTTTGGAAAGGAAATAAGTATTTGTTATCTGTATTTTATCATTAAAATGACACCTAGGTAGGTTATTAAAATATATAAAGCAGTATTTTAATAAGTAATCAATATAATTGTTTCTCCATCTATATAGGTATACAAATTTACATCTCAGCGCATCTGAGTTGAGTCCTGGGTTTACTAACTGTAGTTTACTAGTTGAGTCCTGGGTTTTATGCGGGTAGTTTACTAGTCGTATAGTATCGTAATATTAATATTGATAATTTAATAGGTAGTTTCTAAGTTTAGAAAAATAAAACACAATATATCTATCCTAATATCTAACAGTTAATAGAAATTTTAAAAACTACCCGAATAGATAATTACATTAAAATGAGAAGTTCAGAAAAAACTTAATAAAATTTTAATTTACAAAAAGAAAAATGTATAAAGAATTAAACGAAGAATAAAATTACAGAAAAAATCACTAAGTCCTAAGTCTATAAAAATAAGAAGGAAAATGGTTTGTGTTGCTATTAAACATTTGGGCCCATCTAGTATATTACCAACTGAATGTCAGGATCCAACCAGTATAATATACAAAATTCATTGGGACCTAACTAGTGTGTGTGCTACTTATCAAAACTGTTAGGGTCCGGAACCCAACTCGGATGCAGCCATTTACAGGTTACGTTTATAATTTGTAATACAAGCATCAAATTTCACAATAGCTGACCATTTTGGAAGTCTGAATGTTTAGACACAAATGTGAAACATAAATTAAAACTAACAAAACCAGCAACGATAAACCATTGCTAATTCAAAATTAATAAATATTTTTTTTTATTTTAGAATGATCTAAATTTACCTGGGTAAGGTAATAGTACAAAAATAGTTACATAATAACAATTGATGTGGGTACTTACTTCGGGAAAAAATATTGAGGATATTCATAGGCAAGTATATCCATATACTTGGTACCCGGCCGTTGTTGAGATATTTCATTCCAAAGGGTGGATGTGACAAAATTGTAACAGTTTTTTGGTGGTAATGAAACAATTGGAGAAATTGTTGCGATCAATCTAGCAGTTTCTAATGTTTCAAATCTGTTTTCTATCTGAAATAGATAATAAAGTTTAAAAATCGTAGCGTTTTACAAAATTATAGTCAGTTATCGAGTATTATTATAGGTAATATTATATTTTTACTTCACTGATTAAATATTTAATTTGCTTCTTCAAAATTGAGAGCAATTTGAGTCTACAAAACATTTTGGCATCATGTATTCCAATAGCCTTCATGTCAATCTAAATATTATAATTAGGTATTTAAATTAATTATTAGGTACTTTTTAACGGCGCCTATCTATCCATAATATAAAATTTAAGTGTTATGTAATTTTTAAATTTTGAATTCTTAAATTTAATTACCTATCATATTAATTATAAAACTGTACCTCCAAAAATTTAAGTAACTTATTGATATACGGATGAGTACATTTTATTTTATTTCTTTCGGCCAGCATTTCTTGTTGAACGTTTTCGTATAACATTTTGTAAAACTCGTAAGAGTAGTTTCTCAAAGTCAACGGCCTTCTGTGCTTCAAAGCGTACCACACCTTTTTAACGTCGCACTGTGTGGGGACCACCGGCGCTTGAAAGCGACACGCAATTTGTTTCACTGGTAAATCCGTCGGAATTAGAGTCTCTATTGGTTCACCTTTTGAATTTAGCCATTGTGTATCGTCCACTTCACCGATTGAAACCGCCACATAACCGAACGCACCGACCTCGTGGGGTAAGTTGCGGATGGCCACGTAGAGTCGATTATCGGTGGACGCATAATGAAAATCGCCAAGGTCCAATGCGCGGTCCACGGGCTCGGTGTCCACCAAAAACAACTAAAATTAACGTGATTTTGAGTCCTAAGGAGGTGTGTACATTTTAATCGTACCGATTCCTCGATGGGGAAGAAGGGGAAAAGGATTTTCATCCTGGGTACTAAGTAGGTTAGGTTAGGGTTACCTATATGTTTGAAATATATAGATAATTTAACTACACAAAACCCAATAAATATGATTAGTTAGGTAAATCTAGTAATTAAATAAATACGCGATTGTAATACATTTCCACGCTGTTCGTTTTCCTTGTCCAAGGACGCATCTATATTCAACACAGTCCTAAGATTATCGGCGAGCTCAGCGAATGCTCGCAGAGATGGCCTCTCATTAAACGGATATCTAAGTTTATCGTATTCGATATCCATCAACAACTGGCTAAGCATCATGTTCCGGATACGAGCCATGGCTATGTCTTCGTTAGTTTCTTCCAGGATTAAAAGTAACCATTCCTGTATAAAATAATAATGTAGTCGAATACTTAAATGCTGTCACACATGATCCTGGTGAAAGTACTCTGTAAAATGCATTAGTTTCTGACTATAACAAATTAAACACCTAGATTAGATTAGTTTAACAATGATTGTTTAATTTTTTTTTTTTTTTTTTTTAATATTCTTGGTTAATGAAAATACTCCAATTATTTCATGGCATAGCTGTGACTCAAAATATGAGAATTTTTGATTTTATAGTTGATAGTAATTTATCTTGATCTTTTTTCAAAAAATTGCTTTTTGAAAATACATTTTAGTCAGGTAAATGTTTCCATTTGTTCACAAAACTACCTCAAGATTCTGAATTTCTGCTTGATAATAGTTTATTTGAAACATTTATAAAAATTGTTAACAAGTCACCTTTATTAGAATCTGAATGAAGGGAGGTTTGTTTTGGTTTTATTATGTTTAGTTTCCAAACAAATTGGTTTTAGTTATCAAATTAATTGGTTTTACTGTGTACAAATTTGTTTCTGTATGCAATAATTGTATAGTTAAAAAAAATCTTTGCTCCACTCAAAAATTAACAAGAGACTTTACTCAACATTTTAGTACCTATAATTTTTGTTGATTTCTGAGTTAAAAATATAAAATTCTATGTTAAATAAAATATGACTAATAGTATTCTGCTCATAACTGTTTTTTGTTAGTATTGGTTTATAAATTAAATTACTCTACAATAATTCTGGCTTCCAATTTCTCAACTACAACAGTGGCATCCATTACTAGTATCCTGGGTTACCTTATTAGTAATGAAAAGAAAAAATACAAATAATAATACTCCGCTCAAATTTGTTTCATCATTTGAAATGATTTATCATTGGTATTTACACACAGTATACAAACTGAATTGCCCTGTATTATAATAATATATTTTCTAAACTACCTACTACCCACACAGGGTAGGACACAACTGTGTTCTACCCTTGAGCAGTATCTATTAATTTATTTTTCATTCACAAGACTTTGAACAAAAAACTGTTTTTTTTTTTTTTTTACCATTGTCATTAATTAAGTATAAAATAAATAATTTGTATTATTAATGTATTGGTAAAACTACAAAACTTTGGTCATAGAATACCTATTATACATACCAGAATAATGGTTTTCTCGTCAGATTGTTCGATTTCATTATATGCTTCCTCCAAATGCGATATATATATTAGAAGATCCTGGGAAAGAACATAAGATTTTTGGTCATCATATGCATTTGTCATATTAAAAATTTTAAATAACTTTAATCTTAGATTTCATGTAAAAAGTAAAAACAATTTTTTTTTTTAAATCGTAACAATATATACTATCAAGTTTATTAACTATGGTAACAGACTGGTTCTCAACGATTATTCTATATAGGTAACTTGATAATATGTAACTAACTATATTTAAATAAATTGATATACTACAATAAAATCCTTATCAACCATTACTATCATTACAAATAAAGCCCACCAAGACTGCTAAGCAAACTGGGACTTGGCAGAAGGTATTACATATTATTTTATAAATACAAAATTTTTGTAGGTTTTTAACTAACAAATAAAAAATAATTATGTAAAAATAAAATGTTAAAAAAAAAAACAATATTTTAAACAGAATTAAAAAAATATTTATTTTCATATACTTAAAAAAAACACAACCTTTATGCTTGGGATTCAGATTTCTTATAATAACAGGCAATTTATGTATTTCTTATTTAATTTTTGTTTTTTTTTTTATGAATAATTCAATATTTCATATATCTATAGGTACATACAATTATGAACAGAACAATTTCCACATGTTTAATTAATTATAACAGTCAAATTAATACAAAATAGTTAAAATCATTTTTTTTAAGTATTTAAATGATACAAATTAAAATTATAGAAAATTAAATAGTAAATAATCATATTGAGGTAATTGTTATAAAAAAAAAAAAATTATAATTTAACTAGATACTTAAATTGAAATTTAATTTTTTTTTTTAAACTTGAGAAAACTTACAATTACCTATCGTTGGTATAAAAATTACGACTAAAGTACAAAAAAATTATAGTCAGGCCATTACAATATATAACACAATATTTCTTCAAGTATAAAAAAAATAAATAAAAAATATCTAGACATTAAACAACATTATCACCATAGTTCTAATACTTCTAGAATTATGCTCCCATATATCAATTAAGTATCAACTTTATAATGTTTGCACAGACATGCAATTAGATCATACATTACAAAGTCAACATATAACTAGTCTATGGAATAGTATAGTATTAGATCTATGATTATCACAATAAAACCGACATAGATTACATCGTGCAAAGCCATAAGAATGTCCATCACAAAATAAATTTATTATTAAAATTAACCTTCTAATTTATTATTTGTTTCACAATATAGGTAAAATACAAAGTAATTAGTTATTAAAAATGCATACATAGTAATCTTGTGTGTTCGAAAGGCAGTTTCATAAATCACAAAAATAATAATAATAAAAATAATTCAAATATAATATATTACAAATTAATACTGATATTGTACTTGAACACAGTAGAAGAATATGAGGTAATTCTAAATTAGTGTTTTTAAGTTGCATTACATGATGCTATCATCTGAAAGTATTTTCATTTGAAAAAAAGGAAAATGCCTTAAAGAAAATATTATTATTAAAACATATTATGAATATATTAATTGGATTCGGAATTGTCATAATCTTCTACTTACCAAATAAAAAAATAAATTTATATATGTAAATACATAATTTATATATAATATACACAAAACAAATTACTTTAATTATTATTCACCTTCACAGTTTTCTTAATTCTAGTTGAATTTAACAGAATACGATCACAATATTTTTATAAACCTATGACAATTTACATTTTATACATTACAAATAATATTTTACATTTTAATTTTTAACCTGACCGAAGTATTGTTTGCTAATAAATACTCATATATATACTACAGACATAGTTCATTATGTATATTAAAAATTAAAATTCTTGATTTTTAAAAATTATGCAATTAGAAACTTTGTTTTGTTAAGTACATATATTGTGAGCTTTATGAAAGCTGCTAATAATAACAGTCATTAATAAATCAATAATTCCAAAAATCTAATTTAAAATAATTATTTAAAACATTGTATAATAGTGTTAATTATGAAGTTATAATATCTATTCAACATTATAATTACAAAATATTTTACCGCACCAATAGGTAAATTGTAAATACTTATTTTGTATCTGAGATAATAGTTTTAACTTGTATGAAATTAAATTAAAAATTTACTTTTATTTTCATTATTGTTGAATATACATTGCATAATACAAGTTAATATCAATTTACAATCGTACCATATATTGCACAAAAAAATTCAAATTTCTTTTCATGCATAAGTTGTAAGGATAGGTTTAATTATAATTATCATATGTTTTAATAAAAATTCAAAAATCAGTCAATTAACCATTTACCTTTTACCAAATAAACATTTTATAAATCACTATTAGATCTTATTATTTCATTTAATACTTCTCTACTTCTAATTGTTTAATAAAATTAAATATTACAGTGCATGAAAACTTGTTCCTTAATTTATCCTTAGAATCAAATATTCAAAACCGTTTTAGGTATACATATTTTTGTATAAATAGTCCCTCTTTTCATTAATTTTATTAAATTGTATGTTTACTTTGTTATTGTAGGAACAAAGAAAGGAACTAATTAATTTCAAGTTTAAAATAAAAATTAAACTCAGTTAATTTGTGTGCATGCACATTTTACTATAATAAAAAACTTAAGAAACACTCCAAGCACTGCATATAACTTTATTTACTAAAGTAAATTATAACTAATTTGGCCACTAAATATTACATAATATCACCAGTGTTGAATAATAATTATAAATTAATTTAATATTGATAACTGGAATATTAAATTCTAAGGCAAAGGTTCAAAAATATTGCTCTGGACTGGGAATCATTCTCTGATCACTTCATCACTAATATACCAAGTGCCCACTTATTGTAAATGTCTGTATCATTGTACTGATAACTAATACACACTAGATAAAAATTGTGCGTGTATTATAATATTATTTTAATTAAATGTATAATTAAAGTGTACATACTTTTGTTTATGATGTAGACCATGTTTTCTTTAAACATCTGTAACATCTTATAACCATCAATATTTGATAATCCGATACCTAATACATCTTCAAATAAATCTTAATTTTTCTGAAAAATAAAGAATTGTAAATTGCATTGTTTTAACATACAATTTATCAGGTATAATATAAACATTAAAATTAAAAACTGAATTTAATACTTTTGGTAAATATACATATATCATGCATTTAAACAAAATTAAACAAATTTATTAACATATAGAATAACACATTATATGATAAGAAATTACAATCAACATGGTAATTTCTTATCATCTCTATATGAATTTTTTCATGCCTATTTTCTATACATTAAAACTACTATAACTAAGAAACTATTAATCGGATATGAATGTATGCACATTAAAGTTTTTAGAATAATACATTTTACAAAATTTTAAAATGTGGAAAAATAAAGTTATTTTTTCAATGATTAGAAATGAAAATAGAAATTTTAATTTTCTCAACATATGTGTCCCTAGCACAAAACCTGATTGAAAAAAAAGAAAAAATATTAACAGAATTATTAGCATAAGAATTACACTGTGGGACAGCCTGTATATAAAGTTCAAGGGTTGGACATCACAATGAATATTTTGTAAAAAAAACTATTTAACAAAATAGTCATGATATACATAAACTTAGTTTTATTAATGGATAAATGAATAATTATTTTATGAACAAGTACAATTGATAATCGTTTATATTCTTATTATTAAATTTATATGTCTTGTCTCTCAAAATCATTATACATTTATTTTTCAACTTATCTATAGCAATTATTAAAATTCATTAAAAATTGCACTGTAATAAATATACAAATACATACCTTCAAATTACGTAGACTAGTTAAATAAGGTCCTAATAACATATAAAATTTATTTTTTTTTCCGGCGATCTAATTGAAGATTAGTAGTAGTTTTTTTAATACAGGAAGTTTCTAAAACAAATTGAATAATTTATTATGTATTATAATAATAAAAGAGCATATAAATATGTATATCATAATTAAAAATCCTTACTTGGAACTAAAGAAGATATTGGAGGCATTTTATTGCTATTAATTAATGTTTTTGGACCACTCAAACAGATTCCATATCGATGTAAATGTTTTATGATTTCAATCTTTTTTGCGCATTGAGAATTTAACGATTGTCTAAACATTCCACCAGTTTCTGTTTTTATACCATAATTTAAAGAGGGAAGTTGTTGTTTATCATGTTTTTTACACAAATTAATGTTTTTATTTTTTACATTTTCTGAATAATAAGTTTTTAATAACATAAAAACTGATTTTAATTCAGTATCTATGTTTACAGTATGAATCTTAAGTCTTGGTACATGGTTTTTATCATATTGTGTTTCCAAGTATTCTGATAATAAAATACAATTAGTGATTGATGCTTCAGAATTTGAATTTATAGATAACATCGATTTTATATGACTTGATACTGATGGTATTAAAGTATCAAGATTTAATATTGATTTTAGAATATATTTACATCTTGAACATGATGATATTGTTGTTACATAATTGGGCACTGGTGGACTTGTAGTTAGTGAAAATGTTATACACATTGGCCTTGATATTGGTGGTAATATATCTTTAGTCGATTGTAGTTCCAGTATTGAATCTAATTTATCATACTTTCCATTAATATCATTTCCATTTAGCGAAACATCCAATATTGGTATTTGATTACCAGTAGAGGTTGAAATTTCTCTTGATGACGATATTGAATGATAATCCATTGGTTTTTTTAAACTATTTAATGGCAATGAATTAACTACTACTGAATTTAACAGTGATATATCTCTATGGAAAATTGATTCTTTTTTTAATTTGTTCAATATTAAAATTTGTTGATTTTTTTCTCTTAAATTAATATTTGACATTTCTTTTTCTATAAAATTATAAGTTTTTTATTCATAAGTTTTTGTAAATAATATTTAGAACTGATATAATAAATAATCAACAAAAAAAAGATCTTACCTATATTTGTATTTGGATCATTTGATAACTTTTTGGTAGTACATAAGTGAACACTTTTATTAATTTTATTATCAATCTGTGAAAAAAATTATGTTAATAAAATAAAATGTTATAAACATTATGAATTACGTTATTATAAGTTATAAATATTATAACACAATAGAATACGGATAAAAAAAAATAATAAATAAAGTATTTAGTATCGTATAGGGTTAAAATAATTTATTTTATGTCTGAATTAAACTTTGTTGTACAGTTTTTAACTTGAATGTCTTAAACACAATCTAAATTTTAGAAAATAATTTGATAATAAGAAATAAACAACTAATATGAAAAATATTGAATGCATTAAATTTAGTGGTGTTAATAAGTGATGTTAAAAACGTTAACAACTTTGAGATATCAATGCATTTTACCTTTTTAGATGGCCGTGTACTTTTTTTTGTTTTGTAAATTTTTTGTATATCTCCAAGTAATTGTATTGGCAAAATTGGAGACTTTATTTTTCCAAATTTTAATTCTGATTTGTAACACTGATATTCAGATTTATTTCCTAGCCATTTATTAATCAACTAAAAGTATAATAAAATGATTGTGTATGCATGAAACAAAAAAACTCATTTAATACAACACAATATTTACCATACTAATTTCTGCATGACTAGGTTCATAAATATTGCTACTAATCAATATTGGAACATCAATTATAGCATGAAGTGTTGAATTCTCACTACCTTTATATGTTCGAATAACTGATATGTCAGGTCTTATTTTATTTCTTAAGATTCCTAATATCATAGTAATATAGGTTTTTAATTTATTTGTTTTGAGATTTATTTTAAACCTGTAATCATAAAAATATGATAAAATACAATTTTTAATTAACTATTATAAATTCATACCTCAGTTTCATAACAGATCCGTATTTTGAATTCATTAGCAACATCATAGAATATTCTTCAATATCTGTTACGGCTAAAACGTATAGCTTAATAAGTTTAAAAGATTGAATACGAAAATCAAACTTCCAAATAAGATCATATATTTTATTGGTATTTGTATTATCCTAAACACAAATCAATATGCTTCTATAATTGTTATAAATTACCTACATCTAAAGTAACTAGGTTATCTTGTTTTATTGTAATTTTAAACAATCAAAGTTTTACATAACATAATTACAAATATTTTTATTTGTATAGTATCAAAATATCAAAAATATTTTTAGTATTTTTTTTTTAATATTCTCAAATTGTAACAAAAATCACTAGATTACTTTTGTTCATGAATGGAAAAATAAGATTTAAAAATAATAAAACATATTCATTAAATTAAAATAATATTTTATGACTAAATTATTCAAATAGAAATATTTTCAACTAACCATCAATTGTGAAGTCACTCTTTGAGATTCATTTGAGGAATTTGATGTAAATTGTGTGTCTTGATAAAAATCATTTGTTAAGTCATTATGTGACAAGTTTAGCTTTGAAGATTTAAAATTATTTTTTAAAGGATTTAGTATTATTTTACGACAACTTAACAATTGATGTTGTAAGTTAACTGTTAAACCAGCAATATGTGACGAATCCATACACATCACTGGATGAGATACTAATGTCAACATACTTTCTAGTTTCAGTCTTTTATTATACGACCAATTCATATAATTATGTTCAGATATTATTTGATTAAAATCACTCTGAATGGACTAAGAGAAAAATTAACATATTAAATAAATAATAAATAAATAAATACCATCTGGTATGATATACACATTTCTAATTTAAATATCATACCATATTAAAAGGACGCAGTAAGATTCTATATAACTGGTATGGAATACCATTTATCTGATCATGAATTTCTGCAATAATACATCCACTGTAAAATATGCTGGGTTCAGCTCTCTCCAATAAATCTAATAAATGTGGTGGAAGTTGTTCTTGTTCAATATATTCTAATATCGTATCATCTACATAATTATAAAAAGCTTCCACCGGTGGTTCTTCCTTGTTTATATGTAATTTAATTGAATAACCAACATCTATAGAGTACAAAGTAATCACTAAGACATTTGGTTTATCTTCTAAAGGATTTTCAAATAAACAGTCTAACAAACTTGATGGATAAAGACACTGAAATAAAATTATTAAAACTAATTTAAAATTGACGTTATAATTGCTTTAGTTCCAACTAAAAAATGTATTTTGCTTACACTTTCAGGCCACTGATCAGAATCAACAAAAGTGCATAACTTTTTTTTATGAATAGAACTTAATTGTTTAAATAAATTAAATGGTTTTTTATTCAATACTTGGCTTAAATTGTTTTCTTTAAATTCAAACGGTACATTATACATAAATTCTGATTCTAGATCATGACAATCACGCTGTAGTTCAACAAACTCTTTATCAATGTCATCAATTGATAGATTTGGTTCATCTTCAATTTTTTCTGGAAATTCTTCAATTTCTAATAATTTGTTTTCATCTATCTTTTGTTGGAGTCCTTCAAAAATTTTTTGTTGTATATAACTTTTATATTCTTGTTTTATTTCATTAAATTCATCTTTTAAATCATAAAATGTTTGTTGTTGTTCATCAAAAACATTAGACAGTATAGGATTAAATGTTTTATTAACTTTTAAATGTTGTTCTTTATCGTATTCTTTTTTTAAATTTCTATAAAATTCTTTTTGAAAATTTTTAAATTGTAGATGTAATTCTTCTTCAAATTGTTCTTGTTTAATTTTCAATTCTAGAGGTACTTCGTCCAAATCCTTTATATCTTCTATTCCCATTTCATGTGGTTGTACATTAAACAATTTGTATGAAATCTTTTCTTCCAATTCTGAATTTGGCCCTTCAAATTCTTGTTGAAGATCTTCATTCAGATCTTCTAATTCTCTATTTACTTTGTCCTGCATTTCTCTTTTAAACTTGTGTTTGGTATCTTTGGCACATTTCTTAAACTTTTCTACAGTTCCTTGTGTATGTCTATTGTATTTGTCTTGTTTAATGTTCTCAAGTTTTTTTGGTACTTTTTTATGAAACACTTTTTCTTCTTTTGTAAAATTTAATCCTCTGTCTAAAAAACTGAATTCTTCTGAAGAGCTAAATTCTTTCTTTGTATAAAAATGTTCGTTTCCTGTTATAATAAAATCCTCTACAGAAGAATCAGATTTTACTTCAAATTCATCAACTATTTCTATTACTTCATTTATTTCATTAAATGGTTCAATTGCTTCTTTATGAAATATGTTATCCAATTTTTCAATATCTACTTCAAAATTGTTATTTGATTTATCTTTAGAATCTTCAATTTCTACATTAGATTCTTTGCCTATTTGTTGGTTAAATTCTACAATCTCATAAACTTTCTGAATATTTTCTAGAGTAGCTTTCTCAGACTCTTGTTCCAGTTTTTTGTTTATCTTGCGTATGTATGTGACATACTTTTCTTCCATTTCTTTTTCACATTGATTCAAAAGTTCTTCCATTATTTCTTTTAATTCCTCATAATAAACTCCATTTACTCTATCCAACTTTTGTTCATCTTTCTCAACAGCTTCAGATTTATTCAAAAATATTTTTTTTAATTTATTTACATCCATCTCAAATGAAGAAAAATCACTTTGCAACTGACTTTCACATATTTTCTGGGTCACTTTATCAACTTCTTGAGGTATGCTTTTGTAAAATTTGAGTTGTAAATGCATATGTTTATTTACATCATGTATGTCTTTGTTTAAACTCTGCTGCTCTTTTTTTTTAACCTTTATTTGACCATCAAAATCTACTTTCATTTCTTGTACAATATTTTTCAACAAAGTTTCTACAAATAATTTGTCAATAACTTCTCGCGCTTTACAATAGTTTTGTTGTGTTATTTTTCCATTAGTATGATTATATATTTTTTTATCAATTTTATAAATTAATCGGTTAAAAAAATTTTGATATTTTTTTTTTATTAGTGTTTGGATCACTCCATGAGTATCTAATAGCTTAACTCTTTTATTAAATATTTGCATATTTTTAGCAACATATATTAATGAATCGTTAAGCATTTTCATAATTTTTTCATTAAAATATACATGTATGTTTCCCTTTACCATCTGTATAACTACTCCATCTATTTTTTTCTTATTTTCTTTATTAAATACTATTACAATATCAAAACAATCATTAACATCTTGTTTGACTATTTTATCAAATGTTTCTGGTGCGATTCCTACCATTGCTGGCTTTGTATCTTCGTGGGGATTTTTTAGAGTTTCAAAATGTTGCTGGAATTTTTTATTTTCCTCATTTTTAAATTTTAAGTCTCTTGTATACAAGTATTGTGTTAAAACTTTATCTAGTAATTTGTTTTCAATTTGGTCTTGTAGTTCTTGTTCTGTTTCTTGTTTTTTACTAGAATACTCATAATTAATGTTTTCTCCAAATGATCGAACTGTCTTATTTTTATTTGTCTTCATCCCAATTGACTGAACTACAGAATCGTTAATTGTATTTTCTATTTCACTGTGAACCTGTATGTTACCTATGTTTTTCTGTGTTTCTTTATTTGATTTTTGTTGAGTAATATCATTCTTATCAATATATGTATCTTTATCAAATCCATATAAATTATCACCGGTCATTAATTTTACGAGCCTATTGAGTTTTATAAATGCTTCATTATCATTTTTTGGTGATATATCTCTTTCTAATTTTGAAGGTATTTCATCATAGTACATTGGAAATGGTTTAGGTGAAGTTGGAAAATGGAGATTACATAATTTTTCAATTCTTTTATAAAATGGTATATAATCTTGATTTAATGAAAGGATGAGATTTTTTAGAAATTTTTCTTCTCCTGAATAAAAATATGTTTTACTTATCTGCTCAATGATTTCTTTCTCTGATTCTTCGTCGCCATCTTCAATGGAATGATTAATTTCTCTTTGCAGATCTTTAATTTCTTGTTGTATTTCAGTTATCAATTCTATTTGTTCTTTTTCTGTAAAACACTGTTCTACTGACTTATTTTGTTCTCCATAGAGTATAACACATAAAAGTTGTTGAATTTCTTCTTTTATTTTTTCCTGAAATTCATCTATTAATTTTTCAATTTTTAATTCTTCTTCCTCGAATCCACTTTCATATTTTAATTGCTGAATATAATCTGAAATGATTTCATTTAGATTTTCAGTATATTTTTTTTTTATTAAGTCATCCTGAAATTCAAGGTCAACTTGTATTTCTTTGTTAAATGTATGGTCTACTTCTTGTTTTTCTTTGTCAAACTCTTTTGGTTTTTTATTATGTATTTGTTTTTCACCGTATCCTACTTTTACACTTGTGTCTAATTCTTGTACAATTTCTATGATTAATTGTATTTCTATTTCATGTATATGTGGTTTTTTTCCAACAAACTCTTTTTGAACTTTTTCATCAAATTCTGAGTTAACTAATATTTGTAAATTTAATTCTATTTCATTTGCATTTTCAAAATTTTGTTCCTCTATTCTAAACACTTTTTGCACTTTTTCATCTATATTTTTAGGAAATTCTAGGTCAATTGGGTTATTTTTCTCTAATTTTTCTTCTACACGCTCTTCAAAAATTGTTGGTTTTTTTTCAAGCTTAACTAACACTTTTTTACATAATTTTGGTTGAAACTCTGGATTAACTTGTGATTTTATCCCTATGCCATTTACTAACCTTTTCTTTTTTGCTCTGTCAAACTTCCTTGATACTATTCTGTTGAATTGTAATAGCTTTTTTTTTTTATTTTTTTTTAAAACGTTATTATCTACACAATGTTTTTTTTTTTTTGGTTTACTTTTATATTTAATTTGATTTCTATATCTTGGCATTTTTTTATATCTACTTTTATTACATTTTGAAATTTTGATTTCATATGGATCATAATCATAATCATTGCCCAATTTATGTTTTAAATCATTTTGTATACTTTTGTCTTCTCCATTCATGTTTAAGTACAAATTTGTACATGATTGTTTTTGTAAATCGGTAGAACACAATTCTTTTAAGTCTGAGTTCAATAAAGGTTGTTGTAAGCTCTTATCTAATATGTGTGATTCTTCTTTTACAAATTCATGTTTTATTTCATTAAAATTTACATTATTATATAATTCTTTTTGATTGTCTATTTGTTTGTTTTTTTTGTTTATATAAGGGTCATCTATAATCTCACTCTTTAATTTGTCATCCAATTCTTGTTTTAAACTCCCTTCATTGATATTTCGTACGCCTTCATCAAATTTTATTAGGGTTTCTTTTTCAATATTTTGATGTATGTTTTTGGTAATTTTCTCAGCAATTTCCATTTGTTCCTTTTTACAATTGAGTTGTTGATTTTGTTCTTTTTTTTCTTTATATTTTTCTTTTTCGTCATCATCTTCTTCTTCTTCTTCATCTTCTGAATTGTCTAAACTAGAACTATTGAGATACGAATGACCAAAATTCAACAATATCTATAAAATAAAAATATAATTACGAATAGCATTCAAACAGAAAACGTTCTCATACAGGTATTTAAATATGATTCCAGTATTAAATAAATCAAACACTTACTCTTGCAACTTTTAATTTATCAGCCACCAGGCTTTTCATGGTTTCAATAGTGACAACATTCAGGAAATACTTATTTCCACACCCTGCATCCTATAACATAAAAATCTAAAAAATAAAAAAAAATGTCATTATAATAAACAGTAGGCATATTGACAAAATTATTCAAACAAACCTTTATCACTCCAATTAAACATATAAAGACCAATAACATTTTTATTTTTTACAGAAATATTAATTTATAGAATTTGTGTTACCAGAATACTTACTCAAATTAAAATATACAATAATGTTTTCAGTTTTATTTATGACAAAATTAAACATTTACTATTTAGTAAAACATTATACATTAATTTTTTTTAAATATATTTCTAAAACCTTAATCCTTGATTTGTTGACCAAGGTATAAGCATGCAGACAGTTCAACACGGATACCAACTGTTCTTTAATATAGTGATTTCACCGGTTATTTCAATGAAAAATTATAGAAATAACGGTATTTATTCGATTTAATAAGGATTCATAAGAACAAAACTTCTAAACACTTGGGTTACCATTGAATATAAATATATAAAATATTATTTTAATAATATGTGGGTATTTAATGACGAATAGAATATTGTCAATGCATAAACTTTTAATATTGTTTTTAACTGTTATCGTGAAACATATCTTATTAGTTAACTCCATAGCTGATAACGTAACAGTTTTTCTATTTTCCGGTATCATTTGTTCATTTATTAGGCCGGGTTGCATAAACGTTCTTTAATGACATACAGGCTCATTAACAAATGTACAGATTTGTAAATAACATCGAGTGTTACTAGAACGCTGGTACAAACGAATTTGTAACTTATCACTTTTAGGCCCTGTATTCTGTAACTTAGAGGTCCAATAATTTTGTGTAATACCCATAGACATATAATGATAAGAAAAATACGATTTATTATCAAGAATCAACTAGAATTTTTTTACAATATAACAAAAATATAACACTTTAACATAAATATAGGTACATTCAATATTCAAAACACTATAAGCCATTTATACGTTACGAATTGAATAAACTACATGCTCGCTAATAAAGTTACAGTCTGATCTTTGTGCAACTCGGCATAAAATGTATTGCAAGATAATACAGGTATTACACAGGTAGGTAGATAATTCTACGGTTATTAACCTCGCAAAAAGATTATATTACTACTCCCGGATTCGATACCATAATATCATAATATTATTTTATAACTATTATATAAAATTTCATATTCCAACTAAAAAAAAAAAAATAGCACACAATGCACACTGCGATTAATGCGATTATTATGTAATGAAATGATATTTGCAAGACGTTGTATATAACTTATACCGATAGCCCACGTAGGTATCTAATATTGGTCGTTTAATCATAATTTAAAATATGGTACACAGAATATAAAACCCGAAAGAAAAATAACCAATTTACGAAAAAACATTTAAAAATGTAAAAACTACAACAATAGTTTTGTATGAATTATAATAATGATGACATTAACATTTTTGAAAGCACATACGATCAGTTACCGATAAGACGGAAAACTATATGACTGATCAATGATTAATCCACCTCGTAACTGATAAGATAATATGACCGTGATCTGTATGATAAGATCTGTTACAATAATTGAAATAGCATACCTGTTTATTTTTGTACATTATCAATATTTATTATTATATTCTGAACATCATATATATTATTATTTATGTTTTAAAATGTTGGTTTTTTTCTAGGATTCCCATTTAAATAGGTACCTATATTCAAGAAACTTATTAATACATGTGTGACGTATGTTCATAAAATATATAATATACATTATATATTACATGATGATAAGCGCTAGTCACTGCACTACTACACACGTCGTGATAGATAAGCAATTGTTTATTACTATTGTTTATCTATCTCTATGACTACACACGAATTAAGGTACACCTATATAAGGTATATCTTAATTCGTGCTACTACAGCAAACAACAACACACATACCGTGTAGAAGATAGATAAGGAAATGGTGTAAACCTGCATTGGAAATTGGAATTTACGCAGCGGAAAAAAGATGCAATATGTACCTACTACGTTACACACTTTAGGAATAACCGTTGAACAATGATAAAATGAATCAATAGAAGGTATAATCTACGATATAAGATCTTAAATCGTGGTATAATATATTATATACGTAATAGGTGACCAATCAACGGGCCACTGTTCTCGTTTGTATAATAGTTACCGATTAATTCAGTGACCGGCTGTATCTGACAAGTGATGCGCATAGAGCCAAACGAACTCGGTAGGGGAGTAACGATGGAGTTTAGAAAACTTGAATTTTTAGTTTTAAAAACGATTTTTTTTTTTTTTAATTGATATACACATATGTGTGTATATATACTGCCTATGGGCTGTTATAAAAAGTATATGGACAATTGAAATGTTTAATAGTTTAAAAAAACTGAAAGGATAATAATATAAGGTATGTACCTACCTGCTAAAAACAGTTTAAATCTTAAACACTTATATAAATCACTGCAAACGAAAAACGAATCTGAGCGCTGCTCGGTTAAACATTTGTTGATAAATTTTGTATTGAAGACATTAAGTATTTATAATTAATTTTATACTTAAAAATTAAAATTGTGTACTCAAAAGATCAGAAGCCATTGGGTGTACTCTGCGCCGGTTTTTCTGCGATCTTGGTGATTACCAAATTTCAGTATCCTACCCGACGAGCTAAGTACCCGAAAATGCTGGTGTCTAGACATTCCACGAATCCTTCTATATTACCACTCCAGTATCTTAACGTCTAGACATCAATCGTATCCCTCTGTAATACCACTTAATTTCCCCTGTATTCTACCAGGTACACTACATTCGCCGACTGTATTACCACTCCTATATCTTAATTTCCCCTATATCACACACGGTATACTGCACCCAGTCTGTCATTCGACGGACTGCACACACACCAACTGTATCTGTTACATCCCCAGTATTCTGTCCAATAAGGGGCACAGTCCCTTGAGACGAACGCGCGGAACAATTCATCCCGCTCGTATTAATATGAAATAAAAATAATTCTATTACTATAATAACATAAACATTTCTGTTCTTTTTCTTGATAATATAATTTTGTATACTGATATATTTTATTGGATTAGGCAATTGGAATAACAAATTAACAAAGGAAACGCTAGTAACAACTATGGGTAGCGGTTACCCCACTGATCCGTAGTAGGATAAACATTACTGATACTAATGATACTACACGTAAAAACGTTAAAAATACGAGTTTAAGTTCATGTTTGTTTGTTTTTCCATAATAAGTTACTAAGTCAATAATAATATGTCATTCACTATTGGATAAATATTTACGTTTGCTCAATGTGCTCACGAAACGTTGTCGAATGAGAGCAAGTTTTAAAACGCAAATAAATGGTATTGTATGGAAAAATACTAAAACAGTTTAATTAAGAAATGGCAAAGAAAATTGTTTATATATTTCCATTATATTACTAATAAACCAACTTGTGATTTTTGTCTAGAAATAATGTTGACATTGTTTCTTTTCTTAGGACTTAGTCTTCTTTTTGGAGATTTATGAAAACTTGGAACTATTAAAGAATTATCCAATTTTAGATTTAATTATAACTTGGAAATAGTGTAAAAAGCTAAAAAAGCGAGAAGAAAAAATGACCAACTGCCTCACTTAGTCAAAAAATGTATAAAATAGATAGTATTTTTATCTAATAATTATTTTACTATTCTAAAACATATCAACAAAATATTATTTAAAATTAATGAAATCAATAAAAAAAAAGGACGGACACATACTTCGCACATGATACAGCCACTGCTGTTGGTGGAAAGTTAGGAAAATAGGATACAAACGGGAATTTGATTTAATGTTTATACCTGTAACCAACGATAAATCATTGATAACGAAAAACGATTCTGAGCGAAGTTCAGTTGATAGTGTTGCTTTGTCAACAATGCAACATATGGTATATTTTAGATTATGATAAAATGATTACAACAATGTGCGTTTCCATGACAGCAATGGTTGTTTAAAAAAGATTAAAATAATAAAAACTTAATAATAACAAAAAATAAATAAAAACGGTTGCCAATGACAACCTTATTTTTAATCTTTCAATCTTTTTTAACGTAAAGAACCAGGTTTTCCTCGCTATCTCGAATATTAATGTAAATTTCAAAAATAACCTCTCTTAAATACCACCCAGAGAACATTTCCTTTTAGAAAATGTACTATACTTGATAATCGGAGTAAGCTTTCTGGTCGAAAAAGTGTTCACATAAAAAAAATAAACATCATTGTAAAACCAAAAAATTCGCTCTAACTCAGAATCTAAAAAAAAAAAAATTTAATAATAATATTATCATGACCGAATCTTTTGTATATAACAGTATTCAGTACTTATAATACCTATATAATAATATTTCGTCAGTATTGCATTGTAGCAAAACTGACCAAATACACTTGGCCATAATTGAATGTTACACTAAAATCTGACTAAATAACTTAAACAATTTTTCCATGTGTAAAATGAAATTTAAACACTTAATCAAAATACAACAACTCATAGTTCGATATATTTTTGGAATATTCACTTGGTCGTTTTTTTCACAGTTATAGGAAGACTATAGGGGCTATTTAGCGATATTATTGTACTTGGTCACTTTTTGTACGATGGCGACGATATGATAATATTATACCGCTAAAATATAATATTTGTTAAATTATTAATTTGAGACGTATATAGTTAAAATTAATAATTAATAATGATGATGTAAATTAAAAGGGTATATACAATGTTCATTATGATAAAAGTTCAATAAAATTGTATTTCTAATTTAGGAAATTAAAAAGACGCAGTCACTCTTTATGTGATTTACATATATTAATTTAATAAAATTAATTAACTTTTTCTAAACTGAGTTAAGTTGATTTTTTTTCCGTGTTAAAATTTAACTTGTCAAGTTAAATTAATAATTTGTCAACTCTTAACTTATCGATCTTGTATCCTCTTAACTTTACTTAACTTGAGTTAATTACTTTCATTAACTTGCCCACCTTTGGTAACATTGAAAGTAGCTGAGGCGTGACCGTCTTAATCATGTTTATCAAAATATATATTTTCCACGTATGCATAGCATATGTTACATACCTATTTATTTTCGAATTGCAGATATTACCATTATCAAGCAAAAAAAATTGTGTTATAAAATATTTTTTTCGCGACAATTACAATTACGTATTTGTGTTTAAAATTATATATTCTTAGTAAGTACTAAATTCTAACTTTAAATTGGGGGAGACTTTATACAAATCTGGGAAGATTATATTTCCCTCTGACAGAGGTAGATTCAGAGTTGAGTATTTTTTTTTTGGGGAGGAGTCTCCTAAAAAACAAAAAATAGGTGATACTGTGAATGAGTGTAGCCACTGTTGTAGGCGGGAAGTTGAGAAGATAGCTAGGACATGTAAGGTTATTTAGTTTATATGTGTAAGCACCGATAAACCATTAGTAACTTATTTTTTGATTGGAGTATGATTTCTGGTAGAAAACTTGTTCACATAGAAAGAAAATAATTAAAAAGTTAAAATACATCATAGTACAGTCATTACATTCATCGCTACTTTCCGTTTTTCTTCTTTGAAAATTTTGTATTACATATGCGTTAAACAATTAATAATTTGTGGAAGTAAACAATTTTGTATAGTCTATAGTCCGGGAGGGGTGAGGCCCCTGAGACCCCTTAGATCTGCCACTACCCTCCGAGTCCCCATATTTACGACTATGATATAAATTATTGCTAAAAAAAAACGATATGAACATTTGGTTTAACATGTTTTAAAATGTCATGATTTTTACGATTTTCGTTAAAATTTGAAATTATAACGCTTTACAGAAAAAAACTACTAAATTACGCTCAATTTTTTTATTCTTACCACTAAGTAGGTACAACTTAGAAGTTATAATGAATCTCCGTATTAAATTGTCAAGAATTTTTGTTTGGCCAAACGATTTTATCCGCATAAACCAAATAAAAACTAAAGAAACCAGAAAATGTTTGGATTTCTTAAACCGGAATCTGGGAGACTGGGATAAATATTATATTATATTGAAATGGCAGTATGCTATAGCAGATGACGTTATAGACGTCATGATGTCTCTACAAACTCGAATAGATAGTTATTATAATATCCGTTCGTGGGCGCCAGTAAGAAATTTATCCGGGGGGAGGGGGGGGGGAATAATAAAATCAAACGCCAAAAAGTACTTGAAATAAAAACTGTGTTAATAATGTTGGAATTAAATTTGAAATTTTGAAGTGCTGGGGGGACAGACGGTATCCGTTTATACAAATACAGCCCTCATACGATATATTCGCGGGGTACGCACACGGCAGACCGCTTACGACACCGCCCCCTTCACCAATAACGTATCATTATGTTGTAATTTCTAATTATACACTTACCAACAACGACCCAATGCGAACGGAAATTATTTTAAAAGCGCCCAGCAGTTATATTATGGCGCATATGTTTTCCGCGGCCCGTATGGTGCGCAGGTCGTTGTGTACGCATTCCGCGTCGCAAATGCGTGATCGTCTGCGGAATAGCGGAATTCGCAGAGACGACCGGACGTACAAGTAACTTACCCGTACGACGCATTGGGTACCCATGCCAGCGCATGTCCATGTCGGTCTCGTGTCTGCGTCGCAACGGCACGTGCAGTAGGCGGGGGCACGGTATGCCGCAGCCCCGCGCCCGCAAAATTTCTCTCACTACTGAACGGTTTTAAACGCAACTCGTTTAACCATAACGCATCTACTCTGTCGTCCGGCCAACAACACAAACACGATTACATATTTTGTACGATTCATAAATATTTGTTATGGTGTTTTTTTTTTTTTTTCCTTCGCAATCATATTATTATTACCGCCTATACCGTAATAGTAATAGTTCCGCAGCGGGTAGGTATCGTTAGGTAGTTTTCGTTTTGGACGAGTTGACAAATGTTTTCGGCGAATCCCCCGTAGCGCTCGGCGCTCGCCGGCTTTCGAAAACAGTGCCCGATACACGGCACCATTTCACCAATATGCACGCAGCGATCCGCATTTACATTTTATTTAAATATTTTGTACAGATGCTTCATTCTGTAATTAAAATGATTGCAATAATCGGTTATCATTTATCAACATTTTAGGGTTACCTACCCATTATTTCTATATGCCTTGCCCATATTTATTTACTGGAATTCTAATCGATTTTATTTTACTTAATTTACTCCTGTGAATGTATTAATACTATAAAATAAACATTTGTTTCATCAGACACGTCTTGATGCTAGGAAAATCAAAACACGATCAAAAAAACTTTATTTTTTGTACGCACATCCATTGTCTGTAGGTAATCTATATTATGTTCTGCTTATTAATTATGAAATACGTAGTTTAAATATTGTTTAATCGAAACTATAAAATAGTTTATTGGGTATTTTGGGGGGTTGCTAAATACCTTCTACAGCAACCCCCCCGCCCCCTAGTGACGCCTATCAGGCCTATGATTAATAGGCGCCGTAGTAAAAATAAATATAGACTATATCCATTTTATATACCTAGGTAAATATTATATTATAATTTAACCATTTGAATCAACAATACACCTAGCTATATAAAATATACTTGCATCAATAATGAAAAACAAATATTTACACTAGAGAACGGAAATTACTTTTTATTTACTGTTTTTGATAGACACCCTATGTAAATATCGCAGATTAAGACGTCTGTGATAAATATTTAATACCTAAGTACTATAGTCTATAGACATGTTTATATTTTAATGTCCATGGTATTAGATACGTATTAAATAACGGACATAAATATTGGCTTTTTTTTTTTATATAATTGCGTAGGTGTAGTACATTGGTGCACTACTTTCGATATGGAATACAATATTTGATATTCACACTATCAAATGTGTAGGTGTTTTATTTACAACATTAAAATGCAAAATCTATGTAAAAAAGTGTACGCTTTTTGTTAAAACGAACAAAACTAATTATAATAGCATAATAATCTTTGTATCATTGACGTTATAATATTATGTCTGTTTTGTGAATAATAATAATAGGGACTTGAGAACAAGTAGCAACTAACAACCTTCACAACTGTATAGTTGAGTAAGAAATAGTATGAGAACGCTTTAAAAACAATATTATCTACACACTATTATATTATCTTATCAACACTTGTTCCGTCAATTTGACGTATAGCTGATAAAACACAAAATGTGTCACTCATCACTAGATCACTAGCCTTAAGCCAATATTCGAATGTATTTAAAAATATTAAAATACAATTCAAATTTCACAATTCATACCTTCTAGCTTCTATATGTATCGATAGCCTACATTTGCAACTGTCATTAATTCATCCAGAACTCACAAATTTTCACCAAGTTCACAGTTGTTACAATATTACTATAGGAACGAATCATAATTCTTTTGGGTGATAGATTAAATTTTTGTGTGTTCAAGTATAGTTTTTATATATTATTGTATTTAATTGCTGATAGGTAGGTACCTACTTAAAAATATTTAAATATATATTTCATAATAGATACCAAATTGTATTATGATTACTTAGTAACTTTGCATGGCTAGAGTTAAAATGAAACGGAATTTAAAAAGTATATTGAAATATTTCATTTTCATTTTGACCACTGTCTTTTTAACAATTGTAATTTTTAAATTGTTCAAACAATTTGACCAACATAATAATAATAATAATAATAACGATGATGTACAATTGGAAAAGGTTTTCGCCAGGAAACAGTTATATTCAAATCAAACTAATAAGATTGACTGGCACGATTGGGAATTTATTAATTTGGAAAAACAACGGACCGGTAAAATTTTTCATTATTGAATACCTCTATTTTATGTTATCATATTAAATTGACACTACCAAATTGCTAATATAACCATTATTACCTCTACTACATGTCATTGTTTAATATTAAATCATATTAGGTATTGGTGAACAAGGAGTTAGTGTTTCACTCACTTCGTTCAATCAACATAAATATGATGAATTATATAAAGTAAATGGATTCAATGGTTTGTTAAGTGACAGCATTTCTGTTAATCGTTCAATACCAGACATACGACACAAATTGTAATTTGTTATCTAAGTATAAAACCATTTATAATACATTTATAATGATTTAGATATTTAATAGTCATATTACTTTACAGATGCCGTTTTAAAAAGTACAATAGCAATCTACCTGATGTGAGTGTAATTGTACCTTTTCATAATGAACATTTGTCAACACTTCTTAGAACTGTATATAGTGTCTTGAATCGTTCTCCTAAAAATCTACTTAAAGAAATAATTTTAGTCGATGATTCAAGTACAAAAGGTATTTTAATTTTTTTTTTTTTAACTATAAGCTTCTTAATTATATAGTGAATTATAGTAATTAACAATATTACTTATAAATAATTAATATTATTCATATTTTATATTTTTAATTATATTTATCATGCACTTTAAGTTATTGATATTTTCTAGTTAATTTAAAGAAATCATTGGATAAATATTTATCAATAAATTTAGCTGATAGAGTTAAAATTATCCACTTAAAAAAGAGACAAGGTTTAATTAGAGCACGTTTGGCTGGTGCTAAAAAAGCTACTAGTGAAGTATTAATATTTTTAGATTCCCACACTGAAGCGAATGTTAACTGGTTACCCCCACTTTTAGGTAAGCCATATTTTAATTAATTTGTATTCATATAAAATAAATTTCATTTATTTCTATATACACGGTTCTGAATTTCAGAACCAATTACTGAAGATTACAGAACTTGTGTATGTCCATTCATTGATGTCATTGCTTATGAAACATTTCAGTATCGAGCGCAAGATGAAGGTGCTAGAGGTGCTTTTGATTGGGAATTTTTTTATAAAAGACTACCACTTTTACCAGATGATCTTTTACATCCTACTAGGCCATTTCGGTAATAGTTAAATAAGTACATAAATAACTAATGGTATAAATGTATAATACATATTTTCCGCTCTTAACCTAAACCTTACACACCAATGTAATAGTTTTGAGAAATTTAATCTGATTGCCCTGGAATTTAATTATGTCACTAATATAAGAACAGCTTTCTACTTTTTGGAGTGTATGGCTCTTAAGCTGAAAATATTTATATTTCCATAATTTATAGGAGTCCTGTCATGGCAGGTGGTTTGTTTGCTATATCAGCAAAATGGTTTTGGGAACTTGGTGGCTATGATCCAGGTTTAGATATATGGGGTGGAGAACAATATGAATTATCATTTAAAATATGGCAATGTGGTGGTACTATTTTAGATGCACCATGTTCAAGAGTAGGACATATATATAGAAAATTTGCTCCGTTTCCTAACCCTGGAATTGGAGATTTTGTTGGAAAGGTGAATATTATATTGTTTTATTGTATTATTTAATATGTAATTTAAAATGAAAAAGGCATGTAAATGTACTAAAACTTATCATTCTCTCATTAATTAAAAATTATAATAAAATGTGATCTTAATTATTTAATTTTGTTGACTTTTTAAATTAGTACAATAACTACAATGATTCATTCTATAGAATATAGTCATTTCTTAAAATTAATTTTGTATAAAGCAAAAATCTATCAATTATAGATAAATTGTATACCTACATAACATTTAATGGATGTTATATTTACAATAACTGTTTTTAAAATGTAAAAATTAATTTGTATCCTTTTACACCATTATTAATATATTTATAATTAAATAGTGAATAGTAAAAGCTATTTTTTTAATCAAAGGCTATAAAATTATCTTATAGAACTATCGTCGTGTGGCAGAAGTATGGATGGATGAATATGCTGAGTATCTATATCGACGTAGACCACATTACAGAGACATCAATACTGGAGATATAACTAAGCAGAAAGAAATAAGGGAAAAACTTAAATGTAAACCATTCAAATGGTTCATGCAAAAAGTTGCATTTGATTTAGTAAAAAAATATCCTCCTATTGAACCACCAGATATTTCCAATGGAAAGGTAAATGACAGTACAAAAGTATATATTGATACACAATTTATTAATATAAATAAATATGATTCAAAATTATTATACTAAAAATTTAATAAAATTCTACATCTGATTTCTAAAATTATGTTGAATTTTAGATAAGAAGTTTTATTGCTCCAGAATTATGTTTAGATGCTTCAGCAGCAAATAAACTTGATTTAAAAGAATGTGTAGATGGCAATGAAAATCAAGTATTAATTAAAATATATTTTGATTATGAAATACATCAAATATTTGTTTGTATGTTTTTTTTTTTTAGATATTTATAATAACCTGGAGAAATGATATTAAAACGCAAAATAATATGTGTTTGGACATAAATGATTCATCAGTTAAAGCCAAAATTACCTTATACAGTTGTCATAATGGAGGAGGAAATCAGTTATGGCATTATGATCATGTATATTTATTAGTTTTACTGTGTATATATTTTTAAATTTTAATAATCAATTTATTAAAATTTTACAGAAAAAAAAGGTACTAGTACAAGGCAATAATCCTAGATGTATGGAACATAACATCAGTGCCAGAAAAGCATATGTAACTCAATGCAAACCAGAAAACGAGGATCAAAAATGGATAATAGAGAATTTTAATACAAAAGCATCAACGTGGTCATTAACATATTAATTAATAACCATAGTATATAAAAATATAGGTACCAAATAATTAATGGATTTATTAATTAATATAGTCTATACAAATTCAAATTAATTGTTTTTCAGATTGAAATATGATACAGTATCATTAAAAATTAAATATTTATGGCTTTTTTAACCAAAATATAAAAATTGAATGTATACGGAAATTAATAATGCCATTTTGATAAAATTATTATATTTTAATTCAGAAACAAATGACATAATAACAAATTATGTTAAATAAGACTAATTAAATGAAAATGGGAAAATATTGATTATTCTGTGCCTAGATATACAAACCATTCAAATAACTACTTATTAATGAAGATTGTAGAATTGAATATAGAAAATACAGGGTTTTTATGCTTCACTAGTTGCGGTAATATATTGCAGTATTGAATAGTTTTCTACTTAAGAACATTAACTTAACTAAAATAAATAATACGTTTCCTTCTCTCTTTTAACATGAGTATTCGAATAAATAAATACATATAGTTCATATAGTATACAAATATTATTACAGCATATTTATTTATAATTAAATGTTTAGATACTTACTTTTAATTATTTAATAATTGTGTCATTTTTAACTGTGATATTATTGTTTTAAATTTAAATAATTAAAATTATATTTTGTTTTCTTTTTATATTATGTACAAATGTGCAATATTATAGTCAACTATATGTCTATATTTTTAATACTGGTTTTATAATCAATTTATTTTAGTCAGTGCTGGCGCTAGGGGAGGACAAATGGAACATATGTTCAGGGCCCGACGGTTTATTATTATATAGGTATACAGTCATTAATTACCTATACTAAAGTACACTGTACAAAGCATTATCCAGGGCACTGCAAAACCTAGCGTCACCACTGATTTTTGTTGAAAATATAAAGTGTATTTTTACTTTGCTAACTGTGAACAAAATATTAAACTATAGCAACTACTTATTATATTTTAATAAATTATTTATTTAATATTTTAAAATAAAAATATATTTACAATAAAGCCATTGAAAATTGTGTTTATTTAAAATGTCTAATACCACCAAATACCACATTTTCAGTTGATTATCTACAAACATAAGTTGCATTGTATCAATAACTGCATGTTTATAATTATTATGTTATATTAGTATGATTTATAATATAAATCAAACTAATATTATTAATGTGAAAGTTTATATGGATGTATGTTTGTTACCACTTCTCACCAAAACTATTGAATGGATTGAGCTAAAGCTTTGTGTTGCAGTTCTAGAACAGGAATAACATTTATATTACCTATTTCCTCATATTTAAGCCCTGAGGAGGTGTGACACAACAGGGTTATTGGTATTTTTAATAGGAAAATTTGCATATATTTGTTGATTTATGTGTTGTCTTGATGATACAGATGAAGTAAATAAAAATTTAAATTACTAAAATAAAGAATAAGGTAATTTGTGAAAAAACCGTAATAGTTGTCGAGAGGATACACACAATAATATTTTAGTTAACATAAATTCGGTTACCTACGTAGTAGTTGGTTCATTGTTCATTAGCTACTAGCTTTCTATTGTTCAATCCAGCATAATGATAGTTATTTATATTAATTATTTTGGTGATGTAGGAATTGTTCATTTTGTTTAGAATAATATTAAGTAGTATTATAAACAGGTGCATCAGCTACATGCCTGAATGATGCGAGATGTGAGTGATGGATTGGAAATCATTTATAACTAAAATTTTTATCCAAAGATAATTGAAATAAAATTTAATAAGTTGAGTTGTAAAATATTCCATTTGTGAAAAAATTTTACTCAAGGAAATTGTTTATTCCTATGTTCATTGTCAAAAAAATCGAATTTGTATTCCAATATCGAACGTTTTATACATTTTTTGCATTTATCCAAGGGAATAGGTACATTTTTTTTACGAATTTATATATTGTTTTTTAAATAAAACTATATAACTAGTGATTAAGTACCTAACATATTAGGTATTAATCCTAACATTTAAGCTATTCTCTATGTACAGTATATAATTACTTTGTTAAATTTCCTGTTGAGACGTCAATAAATAAATATAAAATTGAATGTACCATATTGACAATACAGTGGGGTAATTGACAATGTTTTATGGAGTGGGAGGGATATCAAAATAAATTTTCATGAAAATCTAGTGAGAGACTACCCTCCCCCCCTTAATTACATTTAATAACTCGTCACACATCAATATAGTTTTACTGTGTTATAAATTACATTTAACTACAATTATTTTTGTACATATTTCAATTTCATGGTAAAACGTCTAGAATTTTAGGCTTCTTTGAAAGTTCATCCATGACCCCTTCATTTGAAAATATAATATTATGAATAGTTAACATTTCCAGGCCATTAATCGTTTTTACAAACAAATTTAAGACAATTTTAAGTATTATAAAAGTTAATTTTATCAAGTGTAACTATTATATAGTTATCTCTGAAATACTGTTTCGAAGATAAGTTTTTATTCTTTTAATGAAATAAAACATACTTTCTGGTGTACTTGTAGAAACAAAAATGTGAATAGTATTTAAAAAATGAATTGTGCATCAGGAAAAATATATCAGCATTGCAATCTTTTAATATTCTAAATTCCAGTTTTTTAATTGTAGTTTGTTCGTTCAAGTCTTTCTTTCCACAATTTCAATTCAGCAATTGAATTATTCACATTCAAAGCAGATGAATCAAGTTCAAGGCATTTTCTAATTTCTAAAAGGTTAAAGTATTGAGAAACAAACTAAAATCCTATAAAATATGACATGTATACATAAATAAGTAATTAGAGTTTGAATTTGAATAATATAAATGGATACATATATTTTATCTAATTTATTTTTTTTATTATAGTAGGTACCATAAATTACAATTAAAAATAATAATTATTATTATAATAGTCTTCAACATTTGGATTTGCGTGATTAACTTGTTTGGTTAACTTTTTAATACTGAAGTCATTATCTATAATTACTTACTGACATTTCCTATTAAATGGTGCGTCCGCGTTTTTAAAATCAAGACGTCCAAATGACGTAGTGTGTACCCAGTTTAAAATTAAATTTACAATTTATTTTGACATCAACTATCAAGAATATTGCTCACCTAGTAGGTACAATAATAAACCACGATTATTTGTCTAGGCACCTACTAATACAATTAAACATTTAAAATTATCTAGTTTGTAATACATAATTTTGAAATTTAAATTTGTATAAAACAACAATATACTATATAATATATATATAAATACGACTTACGGAGATCTATCCCTCATACGCCCCCCCCTAAATAACACGCACTCATAGATTACCTTAATAGGTATGCACGCCACCGTGTCACCACTCACCACAAAATTACAAAAATGATGCTTCACTATCTCCCACTTTTCATAGGTACGTACAAATAGGATATCTCGTCAACACAAATCTCCGTCATGGTTATCGGAAATCATGGATTTTAATAACAAAACGTATTTTATCTAATACTCAATCAACCTTAATAATATTTGTAATAAACATTGCCATTAAAAAAATCGAAATTAAGTAGTCGTTTCACCTCCCAAAACTAACGGTGACAAAAATAATAGTGATGTAAACATTTTAGAACTGCTTGTTTTGAAAATTGTCAAAAAAAAAAAAAAATAATTGAAAGTTTTTAATACTTTACGAGTACTTAAATGGATCACATTGTATATGATTGTATATGATGGACTATTTATAATACCGTCTTAGCTGGGAAAATATTTCGGGAATGAGGTACCAACACTACTTTAAAATATTGGTTTTATTTTATACGATAAAGAAGAGTATAATTTATGACGTCAAATACTCAAACGCATAGAATGGTATATATAATTAGTACATTTGCTCAAATGATAATTATTATTAACAAAGACATTTAATGCACCTATAAATTGTATTATTACATATACTTATACTATTGATAGTGTAGAAAATTACCAATTAAAATTTTCGATGTCAATGACAATTTTGAGCCAGTTATCTTATAGTTGTCATATTCACATGCGGTTTATATTTGTATGTATCAGGGACAAAGAAGGTAGGTACCGTCGTTTGGGTTTACTTTGTTTCTTTCAGGGGAATTTCGCGTCAAAAACAAATTCATAACATAATTTAATTTTAGTTCTAGCATTGGAGGCGACGTACTCTTATGGCTATTATCTTACCTCCATACACAGAGCCACGGAGGCAGTTTTATCTGTTATCATTTGTGACGCCGTTAAACGCCAGAAAAATTGAGCTGTCAAACTTTTCTTCTTGGAGCGGAAAGCTTGTAGATTTTTAAGGCAAGATATGACTCATCCACGTCAGAAATTTAGTTACGAAAACGATATCACATCAAGATTTGTGTTTAAACAGTTTTGAATGATTAAAATGCAAATGTAATGATTGAGGTAATATTGAACCAGTAAAAGGGATGTCTGCGTTAGTATTTTATTACTTTGTTTTGGGCCAAAGTTTGAAACATGAAGTAGGGGGATTAGAAGAGTCGATAAAAATCTCTAAAACTAGAAATATTTACAGAGTATTATCTATAACATATTTATTGTGTAGTATAGTGCAATTATTCAACTGTTATAATAATTTATTTAATTTATGAGTTTTTACTGTACAATATAAAGTACCTACTTACTAAACCAATGATAAAGAAAAATATGACCGAGCACGTAATTGTTTTTTTTAGATTCAAGTCATATGTTCCAAAAATATTACAAAATAATTTAAACATTCTTTTGTCAGTTAAGATTCATTTGTTATTTTTAAAGCAAATAACCTCTCTTACTATAATTTTTTTAAAAATTAAAAAAAATACAAACCCTAACTCTGGAAATAGACATGTGAGATTGTAAGTGGTTTATAATACAGTTCTATCTTAACCCAAGAAAGGTCTTAAGGGAATTTCCCTCATTAGAACGTCAACAAATGTCATAAATTGAACATAAATAACATGGTATTTTGTAGGTAAGTTACATATTATCTTGAAATCAATTGATGTATATATCTTATACCTGTACAATAATATGTGTAATGTGTATACTTTGTACAGAGTGATTCTTATACTAAAAACCTTGCTTTAAAATTATTTTTGTTTTCTCTGACACGTTTCGCCGACCAACCATTATTTTTCCACCCGAAAAGTTACTGAAATTGAAAATAAGTTGATTGAACATTTTACTAAAAGTAAAAAGATAAAAACACACATTATACAATAAATACTAATCAATATTAAAAAAATGTTCTATCAGTAAACAATAATAATAATACATTCATTACTATAAAAGTATAAAATGCTATTGCTGTTATTATAGAATTGATAATATAATTGACACCACTTAATATAACTATAATTATAATACAATGAGTTGGCTTTTTTTCCTACATTCGAACTAAGGTTTTATTATTGTTTAGTTCTATCACTTTTAAGTTGTGTTTTCTGACTATCATTAACCACATTATCATAAATATCATAAATACCTTTATAAATAAGTATACATTATTCAAAATAAAAAAAAAAAAGGAGAAATTTATCTCTATCACCCCTCCCTCCCCATCATAAATACTCTCGGTGATCTAATGTGGAATACCTTAGGTATCCTAGTGATTATAGTTACAAGACTAAAAAAAATTAGCGTCAATTGTATTTATTGAACTTAACTCAGTAAATTATTTCCAAAAATAAAAACACTAATAACAATACCTATACTATAGGCTAACTTTTTACTTATCTATATAATATACAAAATGTTATTACGGTAAATAGGTACTATTAAGTTATCTTTTATTATTATTAAACATTTTATTCCTACTTTATCTTATCTTAATTCCGTCCAGTCATTAAAATAGTAATTTCGTCGACGAAATGTTGTGTCTGATGCGTTGTCCTAGTCCAATTCGTATTTAGTTGTGTTTGTGAACTTGTGACTCCATAAGTATACCTTTATTGCAGTACGCTATGGCCAGTAAAAAAAAATGTGAATTAGAAAATTCCTTGACATACAAAATGACTACGCCTCAAGCTACTAGACAAGCTAAAGTAACTGATTTTTTTCACAAATGTTAATTTTTAAGATGTAATTAATTAATATAAAAATACAATTTATTTAGTTTATTGATTTAATAAAAGTACAATTTCTCTTTCCAAATAACGGACACCAATGAACAGCGAACAAAATGTAAGCGATCTAGTGTGTCCGGTATTTAGAGGTTTCATTGTATATTTATTTTAAATTCTAGTATGGTACCTATGTGTTATTGTTATTTTTTTTCTATATTTGAATTATTTGTATACCAGAATTATTTATAGCTATTTGAAATATTTAATATTTTGGATTTTATATGGTTTTTGTGGTTTAAATTGTTTTGATTCAGCGGAAATGACTTTGAAATCTATATGATTATAAATAATCTATACATTATTTATTATTTTATTTATGGTAATACCATAACTGATAACGGTATGATTTTTTTGAAAAATACCAAAACAGTTTATTTTGAACTTTCTGCCTAATCATGGTTTACGTAATGTTGCCACTGACCATGGTGTCATAAATATTTCCGACACCACCAGGTAGCGCTACAATTTGTCCGAAGGCCAGTTTTAGTGATGAATACATGGTTTTAATATAAAATAATGATAATTTATATTAAATTTTGTAATTTTGTAATTTTATAACTCGGTATTATATACTTGGTACCAAGTTTTATTGTTTAAATTCATTAGTCAATTAGGTAGGTGTATAATAAAATAGTTTTAATTAAAAAAGTGTTTAAATGTTATTACATTATTTTAAAAATGTAGGTACTTATTACAATTTAAATTATTTTGCTAAATTTGTTTGGTTTTTCTTTTTTTCTTTTGCTGCATTCTCTATAACACATGTGAAATACATCCTGGATAATAAATACAATTATATTGTATTTTTCAAGAATTTAAGTGTTATATAGTTATTTATATTTTGTAACTATTTCATTTCAGCATAATGCCATCATCAGGTTACTGAATACATAGCTTAATTAGATTCATATTAAATTGTGAAATTATAAATTAAAACAAACCTATAACGTTTTAAAGTATTCATATCTCTGTATATATATATATATAAATACAAATAGAAACTTGATATTAAAGAAAATTGATTATAGATTATTTTTTAAAACAATTAATTTAATTTATAATTGTCAAATATCTCAAACGTACAGTAAAAATATGTGCTTAAATTATAATATATTGTTTTAATAAATAATTGATTAATTAACTTGGAAATATACAAAAAATTTACTTTATTAAAATGTAATTATAATAGCAATAAAAGATATTAAAGATTTGATGAAGACTGTTGATTAAATACATATTGTCCTCTATATCATACCTTCTAAGCTTAGCACCTACAAATATGTTCATACTTAATTATGATTACTTCATACTTGTATAATTTGTTTGTAGTAAAAAACCATTGATTTTTAGTTGTACACATATATTACATTTATTATTTATGATGCATTTGGGACATATACAATGGATATAAAATAATAAATTAATAAAAGATGGATTGTGTACATTGAATACAATTTGTTTTGTTTTCTTAAGGATTAGTATTATTTATTTAATAATTCAAACCATTGGTGCACAAAAAAAATAAAGTTACCAGTTTTTTATTTTCTAATTTTAGTTTTTTTATTACTAGCATAGCCAGTTTTGCATCCTGGCATGAAACATTTATTTGGCATTCTGGATTTTTTTTTAGTTTTCTAAAAAAATTTAAAACTATAAATATATCTCGTGTGGGAGAACATTGATAATTTTAAAAACTCGATTAAATGATTAATTCTATTATCATTTATGAACATAAGTAAGTATAACTATTCCGTTTTTGTACATAATTTAGATCAATAAATAAATAGTCATAATATATAATATAATTAAAACATTTTAGTTATTTTTAAACAATACTACAAAAATTAAAAACCACTAGTAGATATAATGTGGGATAATATTATTAATTTTGTTTCTTAAATTAAAACTTAATAATTACTTTCTATTATCATTTATAAACAGTAGAAGATATGAATTATTTCTTTTTTGTACATAATACATTTAAAATTTAAATAAACATAATATACAATATTATTGTAACATTTAACTCAAATTCAGTATGCTTATTGCTTTTGGTATAAATCACTATAAAACATATAAAAATCGGTCTTCGGGCAAATGCTAGTGCACTCTGGTGAACAGCCAATTTGTTGGATCAATCTCGTAGCATTGAAAGATATGAAAGCGGCATCACCTTATCTTCTCTACATTGTGCGTACGATATATTTAACTTTGAAGACTGGCAACGCTGTAGCAATTAGTTATCTAGTTATGATTATATAATATCTATATTTGTGGCTTGTGTAGGTATATGATCTAATATTATATCTTTGTGTTGTGGTAGAAACTCTGCTCTCGCGTTGTAAACATTGAATATATCAAATAACGTAAAGATTATATAGAAAGATAAAGGTATAACAAACTTCTGTTTTCTTGTTAAAATTTCTGAAATATTAAAACTTATTTAATAATTATCATAATAATCATTTTTTTTTTATTTTCCAAATCTTATATTTTCTATGCGGATTAAATCGTTTATTATTTAGCTCTGTGTGGAAATTATTCATTCCTAATTACTGTGAAATAAATTGAAACGTAAGTAAATTTAAGATTTCGATTAATATATATTACATATTATATTAATATACCTATGTAATATGAAAAATGAAAAAAAATAAGTTCTTGTTGAATCATAACTAAATGTAGAAAAATATAATGAAAACTTTTTAAAACAACTAAAATGATTTGTAGACAATTTCATAAATATACAAATATACCTATTTGAATAAGAACATTTTTTTGTTAATAACATAATATGTATTATATTTAATCTATATTTGTATGCATAATATAAAAATAACCATATCATTAAATATCTGGTTAGATTAAATAGTTTTCAATATTCCGTATTCTAATTTCATTTCACTCTGGGGATAAACATATATTTCCTATAAATATACACTTCTGTGGTAGCTAGTTTTTGGACATAACTTTCATAGGTATTTTCGGATGTGTCCTGCAAATTTCAACCCGGTCAGGGAGTGGGTTGCTCGGATGGAGGAATTTAGTGTAGTCAGTTATTAAGTATGGCCCTATTAAATAATATGTTTAAATCTTTATTTACTCTTTTGATCTAGAGTATTCAGGTAAAATTCTTACAATTTGTAGTAAATAGGTAGGTACATATTTAAAATATATATAAACTGCAATGTATAATAAAATACCTATATTCTATTAACATTAGATTTTTCACACATTAATTAAATTTTAAATATAATTAATAGAATAGTCAATAGAATTAGAAAATTTAATAAGTTTAGAAAATTTATATATAATTATTTATTGTCTTAAATTATACTATAGTAGGTTTATAAGTGATAAACGATAACCGAGACGATAACTTAATAGAATTAAAAGATATAATAATAAACTATTAAAAGGTATTTTTTCATAGACTAATAATAAACTGTATAACCTATTAAAATCTATATACCTATTGACATTTAAAATCTATGATTATTTTGTATGAAGTTTGAAGCTTTTTTGAATATAGGATAATTCTCCCTAATTTAGGATGGTTGCCAATCCTAATCTACTTGTATATTAGAAGTTTGTATTGGATATAATATTGTGTAAGGACATTTTTACTGGTCAAATTAATTGATACATTTTATTTTAAAATAACTATTACTTATTAAATTAGTTAACTTCAAAACTTGATTTATATCTGAACATAAATAAATGGTTAAAAACCAACATTTTTTTCTCTGTTTGTCTCATGCGTATTATAAAAACTAAGGCATTCTACGTTTCCACAAATGTGACTCTTTGGTTGAGTTTATGGAAATATGACCTATTGTATTACTTATATGTTTTGTAAAGAAGCATATTTACTATTTTAGTATGAATTCTAGGTATGAATGACTTTTAATATTTTTAGTTTTTGATAAGTTATTAATGGTTAAAATTAAGAGAAAATTTAAAAAGCCTATTTGATAAAAAAAAAAAAAAGGAAACCATTAAAAAAAAATCATTTGTATGATCCATAGTAGATATTTGTCTTTATAAAATGTATCACTTATAGGATCTTTTGCCCTAAACTCAACCAGGTCAAGTACAAAATGCCTTTATTGTTATATTAATTGGGTACAAGAACAGACAAAATAAATTTTACTGTTGAGACACATTGAATTGTATTTTTAATTTTTATCACTTAGATTATTTATTTGTTTATTATTATTAAAATAATTTGTTTTATTCAATTTAGAAAATGAACCAAAACGGATTTAGTACTGGCGAAGAAGATTCAAAAGGTCCTATTGATAAGTTTTGCTGTTTACAAGAAGATGGACTTCGGTGTCAGCGACAAGCAGGGAATGCTTCGTATAGTAAAAAAATACGCAATACTGTTAGGCAACTGAAGTTACATTTGGATAATGTTGTATGTTTGGAATTTTTTATATATTTTTTTTAAATTATAATTTTTTGTTTTAATAAAACATATTTTATTAGGCAAGACACATCTACATTTGTGATTACCACAAAAATATGATTCAAAGTGCCAGGTCTTTAAAACCATCTAATCAGGAAGAAACACCAGAAATAGACTTTGCACAGTTACAAATGAATACACTTAGACGTTACAAAAAACATTATAAAGTAGTAACAAAACCAAGTTTAAATAAGGCTCAGATGGCAGAGGTAATGTTTTTACTTAATTAATTATAGTTATAAACCTATTTTGTCTTATGAGTGAACGGGACTGTTGTAGAACGGGATATTAACTGCTGCAGTTTGTTATGTAGGTAATAAAATGTATGTAGATGTGTTCATATAAATTAGTTTTATCCCGAACAAGTCCCATTCTCTCATTAGACATTATAGTAATATTTATATAAATACCTGTAACTTACAACACCTATTTATGGATAGTATTAAAATAATCATTATTTGTTCATAAATCTTTATTTTACTTTTATCTTCAATATTGCAAATGATTTCAATAATAGTTATAAACCATTTGGTTAATGTGCAATAATTTCAAAATAATTTATCATAGTTTTGTTTTCTTTCAAATCACATAGTATTTTATGTTTTATATTTGGTACCCATGTATTTTTTTTATCATTTAATAATTAAATTTATTCATAAAAATTCCATTTTGATTATGACGATTTATCATTACTTTCAGTATATAAATTAAACTTCTGATGTGAAGTGCTTCCATTTTTTTTACATTTATGTTTTTATTTCTAACTTTTCCATTAGGTACTAATATTTAAGTTGTATATTAAAATAAAAATATGCATTAAACTTTTTTTTATACAGTTAGGCGTCAAAATAATTTTTTTTTTTTTAAATAAGCTATGTAATTTATGTTAATAAATCATCATCATTCATTATCAATAAATAGTAGTATAAAATAACAATTTGTATTTTGAATAAAATACAATAAATTTTCATTTGAAAAAAAAATGTTTCAGACACTCTTTTCTCATTTTAAAACAATACCAGTCAACGAAAAAGAAGCCCTTACATTCTTTATATACACAATTAAGACCAATGGTAATAAATTGGATCAAAAAAGTGCAAGTACTACCACTGATACAGTACAATCGTAATTATCATATTATATGAAACATTATTTTATTTTATTTTATTTTATTTTAATGGTATTAGTACATTTATTTGTATTAACCAATTTGGTTTTTTAAATTTAAATGTATTAATTATATTTTGTAAAAATATTCTTATACAAATTTGTGATTATAACTTGTATATTATTTTGTATTTAATTCACATTATTATTAATATTAATTTACATATTCGAGCCCCTTAAAATAACTACTTTTATCTGGTCAAATAAACTAATTAGGTATTTGATATATAGCACTTTTATACCTATACTTCTACAATTAAAAAAATTATTTTTTTTTTGCATACTATTTTATAGTATTATATATAATATAATTTTAAAATTATAATCTTTTATGAATTACATCTTAATAGGAATTGAATGGATTAAAAATTTTCTACTCATACATTAAGTCGAAACCCATTGCTACGTCACTGTAGTATATTAAGGATTTTATGTGAATTTCACATAGTAAATACAACCCAGTTTCCTGTTTGCATTGATATGCAATAGTAATCTAAGAGATTTAGCAACTAACTAAGTCATATCCTATTTAATTCTTAATTGTATCTCAAACTATCTACTTTGGAGATTCTATCATTAAATTGATGACTTTTAATAATTTTAGTTCCGAGAAAATTATCTACCTATAATTATGTAGCCAGCTGTAATCACATTCACTTATTTATTATGATGTCTAATTGATTACACTTTTTTTTTAAAATTTTAAAAAATAATTAAAAATCACAAATTTAATGAAAATAATAATTTTCTGAAAAATAGACTCTAATGGTTATCTTCAAGTTTTTCAAAAATAATATAATTAAAAATTAATTGAAATATAAATATTTGTAGTTTTTATCTTTGTGAGTAACATTAAAAAAGAAAAAAAAGAATTCTATATCTTATTATCTCTGAAGATATTGTATATTTTCGTTGGGCATCCTTTATATATTTATGAATGTTCAGATTGTAGAAAAATATTATTTATCATTTTCATAAATACTGTAATAAAAAAAAAATTGTTATATACCTCTTTCAGGTATTTACGTCCACTTATATTGTATGCTATATGTACGTATCTACAAGGTTAATTCTCAAAAAAAAAAGTTGAGTACTTTGCTAGTATTCATTATTGTAATATTTCAACCATGCTAGTATTGATATTACTTTTTAGATAATTTAAAAAGAAATTTATATTTTATTAAATATTTTTTTTTCAGTTTACCTATTTTCAACTGTACAAGTTCTATTTTGTTTGCTACATATCTATTTTCAAGTTGTACCTATACTTTAAAATGAAAAATTAAGAGGCTTGTTAACAGTTATCAAAATTTATTTTGAAAACACAATATGATTCTTTAGGTTCGTTACTACAATAATAGGATATATTGGAATTATTTTTTAAGTTTAAATTCTTCTTATCACAAGTAAAATATAATTATTGATAAAAGTTACATGTATGAACAATTTTCAAAAATACAATATAATTTTTTTAAGATTTACAGTAAAATAGTTATTACATTTCTACTTACAACATTTAGTAAAGAACCTAAAGAATCTTTGTTGTCAAACTTGAAATCCGTCAAATAACAATTCCTACAGTTTTGTCTGGCTTTTAGCTCTAAACCAACCGAAACATACACCTTCACTATCTACTTAACAATAATAAGTACAATTATTTTGTTATATAGCCATATAGGTGAAGTATTTTACAAATAGGTAAGTATAATTTCGGTAAATTTACATTCCTTTCCATTATTAACTTTAAAGTATAATCTGTGCTTTGCTTTTTTAACAGTAACACAATTAATAGTGTTAAATATTTAACCTACATTTTAGCTATGCTAGCCAATATTTGTTTAGATATAAAGTATTACAGTAGTGTGCAAAAATAAATGTATTGTGCAAACTAGCAAATTATATATTTATCATTAATGTTTTGTAATAGTATAATAATATTGTTAAGTTTATAATCTATTTATATGATTTGTTTGGAAAAAAATTTAAAATGTTGGAGGGGAGTTATGGTTGCCATTATTATCAGAATATAGTAGACACTACTTGTCTACAGTATGCATTATTTTAGAAAAAATATCTTTTAGTCAGGTGACTAGAAGGAGGGTAAAGAGATGATTTTCTGTGAAACCTTGAAACTTACATATACATAGATATTGGTAAGTACCAGCACCTCCCTTAAAAGCATTAGGTTATTTAAAGGTAAACTTTTCTTTTCTTGTCACTTCACTTATCCACTTAGTTTATTCTCATCTCCATTACCCTCATTCTTTGTTCTATTTTCTTTCTACCGCTCAACACTTTGAACCATATAACATAGTCAGTTCCTACCTATCACTACACTCCATAGGCCTAAATTGCCCAAATATTTTAAGGGAACTTAAAACAACATAATGTTGATTAATGTTGTTTAAGTATACTAAGTGTTTACTTGATAAAAACTTGATTTGGGTGGGGCTAAACACGGCCCTATTTGTGCTTATATTACACTTTTGTTGAACATATTTTTAAGTCTCATTGGAATTCAAATAAAAAAAAAACCTGACGTTTCGTTTCATTGGATCCAATCACACTTAACCTCGTCAAAGCCTTTTGTACAAAAGATCCTAGGTACTTAAAACTATCAACTTCGTCTATTATCATTGTCACTACTTGTCTTTTCCCGTCAAACTATTGTAGTGTTCCTCTAAATTTTAGTCTAAACTCATATTCTATAATATACTCGGTTTAATGTCTACTTGTCCTTAATCCCTTTTTTTCAAGTGCTCTATTTCTTAAACTTATTGTTAACTTCTTACAGATTTTCTCTAATCGAAACTATACAATCCGTGCAAAAATCAAGATTGCAAATAGCATGCACTATGGACCTATGGTACCTCACCTTGTATTTACCTCATCCATTAATTATCTTATTATATCGTTTGGAATATAATTTTTTTTTTTTTTTTTCGAGGAAGGGAAAATCGTCTATTCTACGTTTATGGTTTTAACCATTTTATGAGTAATGATGACGCCTAAGAATTCTCGGTTGTATTATTGTACACTAGTATTATACAGCGTGTTCAACGTAATATAAGACATTCACTTTCTCGGTGAGTATTAACTTTTTTCGAAAGTTTGTTTTTTAGAACATTTACATTATTTTTTGGCATTCCTATTTATAAGGGTGAAATTATTACATACTTTTTACTTTCAAATAGTAACCTATATTAAAAATGATATAAATGTATTATGAAATTTAAAGGTTTTGACGTTGAACTATGTAATATTACTGTCAACCCGTTGACGAGATAATCCATAAAAAGTAATATTATTGGTTAGTATTACATATTATATGGTAGGTACTATATTATGATATGTAAAATAAATATATTGCTTTTATTTCCTAAACTCAAACTTTAGATCTGTTTGATTCTAAAAAAAAACAAATTCCGATAAAAGTTTCCTCGATAACGAGTGTCTTACGCTTTATGTGTTGATCACTCTGTATACGGGTATGAAATTATTAAAAAAAAAAAAATGAGCAGGTAGGTATTTATACGGACTGCGTATTATAATGTAATTTACCAACGTACAAAGCTACTATAATAAAGTCACAAATTTCATATTATACTGTTTGTTTGAATCGAGCCGAAAACGTACCACGCTACATACCGGCCTAATGATATTATATTATATATACTTGCTATTACTTTAACCTACGTACAGCATTATCGTTTATTTATATGGTAATTTTATTTTTCCGTAAGTAGTCAAAATTCTACAGCTCTCGTTTAACAAACACCCCCTCTCCCACACCCCGCGGGAATAACGCTGCGCCTGTGCACTCGCGTAATACGCCTACGCTTACTTCCAATGCTCGTCGAAAAACCTATTCGAATTATTTGTTTTCATCATCAAACGGCTAACTCGCATTTCGACGTACCGCAGTGCCCACACGATCGTTTTCCGCCGGTGGACAATTCGAATGTCGCGCGCAGACAATTAATTACGTATGTACGCACCGCGGTCGTTTTACAATACGGAACCGAATGACTGTTAAAATGTTATCCAAACATCTTCAATACAGTATTGGCGTTGCGGATTCGCGGTCGCGTACGATAATGCGAAAGATGCGGGGGTTTTTTTTTTCCCCGTCCGTCGCCCGTAGTGATGTTATTAACGTTGACAATTATGTTATAATCGGTACATTTTGTAATATTATTGTATCTATCTTTTGTTGATAACATTACACGTATTTATCATCGTACGCGATGATTAATAATTATTAATTATTATTATTGTATCGCGTACCTACGCGATATTATTATTTTTTCATCCAGCCACCCTCCTCCCCCCCTCACGGGGGAGATCGTCGCGGTCGGGCGTTTTGTATTTTCGCGTGCGCGCGCCATTATATTACACACTACACTACTGCATACGTGCATTTACCCGAAAGGGTATATAATACATTATTATTAATATATATATATATATATATATATATGGATATATGGATACGCGCGCATAAAGGTATTTGCTCGTGTGTAATGCACGTTTATTATAATACTCGTATATATTATACATGCGCACACATACGCGCGCGCGCGCGCGTAAATATATATATATATATATGTATTATATGTTCCGTACTGTATAATATAATATACGAGGTACCTATATGTAATATAATACACGAGTGTGTGTGATGCGTTTGTACGTTATAATATTATTATATAGCGTCGGCGGCGGCGAGGCGGGAGAGGGCGAGAGGCATTATAAACGGTGGAAAAAAAGGACAATATGACTATGGAGAGATAAAAAAAAAAAAAAAAGAGACGTGACGCGTTGTGTGTGTGTGCGCGCGCGCGCGCGATCGTTGTATGCGTATATTATTATATCGTCGTGTGTATAATATAATATTATATACGTATATACGTACGTACGTACATTATACGACTCGTCGTATTCTACGTACATACGTATATACACACACAAGCGCGCGCGCACACCCAACGAACGTTGTGTATATATATATATATGTATATATATATTTATATTATTATATTATTATTATTATTATTATTATGTGCGTACGTACTGTGTGTGTAGTTGCGCGCGCGAGCTTGCCTGCCTGCCTGCCTGCCGCCGCCGCCGCTATAATAACGTATATACTGTATAATATTGTACGGTGTGTGTGCGTGTGTTGGCTCATGAATTATTCGCGCGCGGCCCAACGGATTTCGAAATAACGCCGTCGGATTGGCCCGGGCCGCGCGGTCTATATAAAATCGGCCAATGGCGGCCGGGCGACGGGTCGAGTGCCGCGGACCCCCTGTTCACCGCGCTCTACGCAATACAAAACAGTACTGCCGACCGACCGATATACACACGTCCATCTGCCAGGTATTTATATATGCGCTTTTTTTTTTCTTCTCTCTTTTTCTTCAATATTATTTTTTTATTATTATTATTATCGCTGCTGCTACTCTGCTGACTGTCCGCCGTACTGTTTTCTGTCGGTTCGTCCGTTTCGGTCGTGCACTCGTATACGTTATTTCGATTAAACACGGATAAAAAAACCTACCTATAGGAAAATAATATCAATAAAAAAAAAAAAAAACGATCTTTTTTCTGCGCGGATCATTATTATTACCCGTGTACGCACGGCTCCGACGACGACTACGACGACCACGACGACAACGAGCCGATCGCGCGCACGCCGATACAAAACGGGTATGTATTCGCGGCTGTTGCCGAGGAAAAATCATATTCTGTGCGCGATTATCGTGCGAAAGCCGTCGGTTTTCCGCCTTTCGGCCGAACGTTTTTCGCGGCTATCCGCCGATAGCTCTTTTCCACGTACCGTAAGCACGACACACGGTCCGTGTGCCTTCGTCCCGTTTCCCGGCACATCGCAATAATGTCGGTTTTTGTCGCGTACGGGCGACGCGCCGCGCATTTCGCCTGTAGCGTCGAACGCGCGCGCCAAACGACGACGGCCATTTACACCTTATCTCACAAAACATTGCCGCCGCCGCCGCGTTTCGCGTTCGTTTCGCCCGTCGACGAGCTTTCGATTATTTCCTCGTTTCGTGTCGTAGCGTACGGGTACTCGAAACTCGTCGGCGAGAAAAATCGTATTTCGCCGCATTTGCACGTACGAATTGGCGCGGGCGGGTGCAGCGCGCGCGCTCCTGCGACTATCATCTCGTATATACCTATATATATATATAAGTGTGTGTGTGTGTGTGTGTGTGTGTGTACACGACAATAATATTATGTCGACGTACGTGTGTTTGAATATACACATACACACACACACACACACGCGCTTAAAATGGCGGCAAAGTGATCCCGTAGCGAAACGCCGCGTTTTCCGACCGTGCGGCCGATCGTCGTTTTTCATCCCGTCGTGGGTTTTCCGGCCGTGTCGATAATCTCGCCAGGTCCGCCCGGCTCAGCGGCGGCTGCGACGGCGGGACGGACTCGTAGCCCCCCGTAAAACTGATAGTAGCGGTCGTCCGGGTCCGCGGGTGGTACCGCGCAACAACAACAACAAAAACAATCGCCGCTCGCGCGTTATCTGCGTTTTCGAGAATATCATTATTACTATTATTGTTATTTGCTTACCAATAATAATAATAGTAATAATATCATGTCGGATTGCCGCCGCCGCCGCCGTCACGGGCTTGGCACGTATACACCTACTATAATATATCATTATAGTTGTTGGTCGTTCGCTCGGTAGATGAAATTTTAAAAATATAAAAACATCGTTGACGTCGTCGTGGCGCGGATAACGCGCGCCCAAAACTCGTTAGGCGTTTTTCCCTATGGGGGTGATCGTGTAGGTAGGTAGACCAAATTACTATTCGCCGTCGTTGTCAGTAGCGGTCAACTCGTATGTACACGTAATAATATTGTCTGTGTGTATGTATAATATTCATTTTTTTTTTCAAACCCGTTCCCGCGACGACATTCGGCCGGGGTCGCGCGAGTAGAGGAGGAAGGTGTTTGAAAACGATAATAATACTCGTCACGAGCTGAAACGTTAGGAACTGTCGTCGGATTATTGTCCATTATTATTTAATTGTTTTCGAATCGACGGCGTGCACAGTGTTTACGTAATATTAATATTCGACATAATAATATCCGTATTCGTTTTTTTTTTTCTGTTGTTCGTTTCTAGCTCCAGAAGTTTAGTACCTCTATTGAACGTGTTGTAATCGAATCGATCCGCAATCAAAACTCGTTTTCCCGAGTTCCCGGTGGAGCTAAAATCAAAAATATACGATAATATGTAAGTATGACTATTATTGACGATTTATTTTAATGTACCCATGTACGTTGTTGTTTTTATTATTATTTTTTTTTTTTTAAATTAAAATTGCTTGTCTGTCGTTTATATACCACCGTGGTTATTATTAATGTTACCTATTATAGGCTATACACTATTATCGAGTTATTATAGGTAATAATTTTTAATAACTGCCGCCATTATTGTAATAATAATTCGTAACGAGTATGCATGCGAGCAAGAGTGCTGTTAATATACTTTGAATAAAAACGATTGATAATTCGATCTCGGTTAGACTCTCTTTGCCGATCCGTTCATTACCATGTAGGGGATTGCGATATGGCCGTTTGTCATAACGTGTGTAACGCGTACCATAACGCCAAACAGTTGTTATCAATTGGCGGGCAATGTCAATAATGTTATTTAGAAAATAATCCTATCGTGTTTTGTTAGTGACTATAATTTATTACATTTCAATAATAATAAAAGTTCCTATACAATATTCGTATGAAAATGTGAGACACTGTGTACTTGTGATAATTCCACTTACGCCCATTTTATTATTTTTTGTTGTTTTACAACGTGAAACTGAAGATTTTATTATTATTGTTGTTATGTTTACATAACGGTCGAAAGACGGTTGGTAGATTGATACGGATTAGATGCCCTTTGGTCCGGTAGATGGCGCTGGCGTATCTAACACAATATTACGAAACCATTGATAAACAATTTACCACCGAAACGTTCGCGTCGACCGACGGGGACGCCGCCATACACACCATAGGCAAATAATACAACCATTTCTGTGGGTTTAACGTATTTAAAAACAAAAAAAAACCGTTTACATTGTTTTTCGATCAGTCTTTCACGAAAATTATTTTCAAACGCGTTCGGCTGTGTATACACAAAGTTTTTTTTTTTAATTACAAATTTCATTTAGGACGTGTTCTATTATTCCTGGCATTATTTATTTATTGCTGGTTTTTAGAATATTGCCGTTCGAGAAGTACCTACATACTTTATCTTTTACATACGTTTAGCTTTTGTAGTAGGTATCGAGCATTCGATTACAGTTACTACCAGAAGAACACATTTGTAAGTATTTTTTTTTTCAAATACATTATATATATATATATATATATTATATATAATATTTATCAGTTATGGTTGATTGGTTTTTTCTTATCTAATGTTTATTTTGGTTTTTTTGTTGGGTTGCCTAGAAACTGAGTATTTCAATTTTCTGATAATAACTATTTGTATATTCGGGTAGTTTTAAGAAATTATTAACTTTATACAATTCAAAATATAGAAAAATTAACAATAAATTGTTTACAATAATTAATTAATTACTGTTAATAAATTATTTATTTTTGTTTTGTATAAATAATGTACTTTTAATATTACACATTCAATAACAATATGCTGCTAGTACTTAACAATAAAAATGTTTAACTACATATTGCGCTTACCTATGTACTTCAATTTTAGAACTATTTCCTTTTCGAGACTATACAGTTTTGCAAAGCAATAATGAGAACAAAGCTTAATCTTATATTCATTTAATTGTAATAACTTTCAATTCATTTACCTTATTATTTTAACTAATATTGCTTAAGGCCCGTTCTCACCAACGTAAACATTAATTTTTTTTACGTTTGTGAAAACGGCTCTAAGATACATTGTTATTATTCATCAATGTTTTTCACCATACCAAAGGTTGATTTAACTCTAATTTGTTAGGTGAGTAATAGGTAATAAATACTATTTATTTGAATTAAATGACTAAGAGTTTTTATAGTATCTATATGTATAGTTTACTTAAATAACAATTTATGTGAATAGATTGTGTTGTCCGATAGTGTGGAGCTATACATAATAAAAACTTCAGAAGTATAGTGATACTTGTCCATTAGATTGAAGGGTAATTAGAATATAAAATATATTAGTTAGTAAATATAAAATCAGTATTTTTCGGATATATTCAGATATTTTTTGTGATTCAGTTCTCTCATTTAATAATTTAGTAAATTTTATAAAAATAACAATTGTAGTGCATCAATATGTTTTATAAGTCCAATAATACATATTAATCTTACCAAAACAAGAACAAACTAATTACTTCTACATTTGTATTAGTTATGAAAATTGACAATGTGCAATAAGTAATGTTCAAATTAATTAACTACAATAATTACATTTTAACCAAATTCTTTCTACATTATTGTTATTATTATTTGTTTATTTATTTTTGGAAGTAAATCCAGTTTACAATAAAAAAGCAGCAATATGCATAGATAGTTGATTTTACTGTTACAATACAATTTGAATGTACTCAAGAAATTTGCCAACTCAGTTTTTGTTTTGAATTAGTATTATTAATTTAAATACTGCAATATTTATATATATGCCATTATATCCAAAATGTATTTGTCTTCTTACTGAAGGTTGTGACTTGTATCTGTGATATATATACTCCGTTCCAAATAAGAACACACCGGGCGCAGACAATAATCTGTCAAAACTCACATAGCTGATTAATGGTGACAAATCGTAGAGCGAATAAACTCAGCCAAAGGGGCAAAACTTTGCTCATTAATACACTTGGATGTGCTAAGTGGTGCATTCTTATATGGAATGGAGTATAGGTATGGTGGTTATTAAAATTATAATGAGTGGTTTGTCATTTTCTAATGTCTTGATCGGATATTTAATATGTCCGCTATCTAGGTGGTGGATATAGACACAGTTAATTTTTTTTATTTATATTTATGTTGGCTAATTTGATACTGTCGAAAAAAATATATCCGTTTGAGATATGAACGTACGAATAGAAGGAATTGAAATTTTTGTTTTTCCCTAAGATACTTATACTTTTAGCTAGTCAATAGACATCAATTTAAATTTCAATAATTTGCAGTTGGATAGCTATTACTAGGCCAAAAGACTATCAATTCTGAATATTAGTTTTAGTCACTTATGCCTATGTCAAATTAAAAGGGTAGTTACCTCGGTAACATTTACTTCTTTGATGAAGTCATTTTTATTTTAGTTCTATTATTTTGAGTAGTTTTGGTAGTACAAAATTTAATTTTTTTCTATGGCCCGTTGGATAGACAAATGACAAATTATTATATGACACACTTTTAAAGCTATATTATAACAAATCTTGACTCCTTTATTCCATAAACATATATTTTTAAAAATTCTAAATATTTTGTTATCTATTGATTTTGAACACACCCAAGTATGTGGTCATGAATTAAAAATTGGTTTAAACACCAACAATATAATTTATCATGGATAACTGTTTTTATTGTTTTGTTTATTCTCTAATCATAATGTCTTAATATAATATACAATAGTACGTGGAAATTTTAATAATTGTCATTTTTTACCATAAAGGTAAGGATTAAATTTGTTCATGGTTTTTTTTCTGACATAATTTTATAGTTACCTCATCAGTTATCGTCTTATCTCTAAAACTAGGATGACCAGGAATTTCTAAACTAATATCAATTAATTTAGGTAATAAAACAAAATTTGGTGTTTATGTCTTTTACCAGATTTATTCCAAATTGAAATAAGGTATTAATAATTTGTTCTGTTGATAATTTAATCGATGTTTTTTAAAAAAAAAAATGTATATTTTTTATACATAGAAAACATTATTTATAGAAAATTGGAAACAATTCAATGAAATAACTATTTTAATTTTAAGAAAAATAAAATTATATTTTATGTAATTTTATTATTTACACAAGAAACATACAATATGATTTAATTCAAACATTTCACCGGAACAATTAATTTGAATATTCTCTTATTTATAGTATTATTGGGATATTTATATTTATGGAGGTAAGAATGTTGTTGTTGAAAATGAAATCACAATATTTGAATAAACTTTGTGTTTTCTTGAATGAATCTACAAATCATTTAAATCAACGTTGTAATAATTAATTAATTTCCATTATTACATTGTACATTTGACCAACGATATTTCTTTTGAACCGTTTATAGAGTCATCATAGTA